GCAGAGAGCTTGGAATAAGGGTGTCAACTTTTTTTCCGTAGTTTATGTTATTCTATTCTAGTAGGGGAACCCTCCCCAAAAAAAGGTAAAAGGGCACTACTGGGGGACCTAGTGGCACTTGGCTTGTTTTGGTAGATGTTGAAGGGAAATCCCCCAGGACCATGATATGCACCGCCACTGCTTCCCAGCCAGCGTCCGTGTATCTGTTGATTCCCATCCCTGGATGCCGCAAATGATTGCAGAACCAAGCATTAACAAGAGGGACAACACCATACTTGGAGCTGTGAAGACTACGGACCCCCAACCACAGTGCAACAACAAAAATGCACTGTGAAGCCAATGCCAGTGCCAAGTTTTTGGGAAAACAAACTAGCAGAGTCGGGCAGTAAAAAAAGAAGATCCACAAAGGGATCCGAGCTCTCATTCGTGACCCTTTGGTATCCCTTTGCCGACAACCATTTGGGAGGGTATTATCCGTCAAAGTTCATAAAACACGCGTGCCAACAAGGGAACGGGGAAAAAGCACGCACGCCCCCTGGTCGGCACTGGCCTTCACCACGTCGCGCACGCCCTCCTCCTGGAGATGTTTCCATTGGGGGGATGCGTTTCTCAACACAGGACGTCGCAATTTTCTCACTTGGCCAGTGACCAGCCAAAAACAATGGGCCAACTTCTTGGGCCACCACTAGCAAGAAAGGGAGAAACAAAAAGTGTACACTTTTTGGGCCACCACTAGTAAAAAGGGAGAGCCACCAAGGAAAAAAGTCTACAGTGTGGCCACTGGCTGGGTGAGCTTTGGAGATTGTTTCAAGGAAACACACAATCACCTTTGGGTCCCCAATTTTGAAAAAAACACCCCATTGGTTCGACGGATTCGGAGCCGCAAGGAGCCCATGTTGGCCGAAAGCGAAACGCGACGTTTTCGTGAGGATCATTGAAGGCTGATAGCTTTGTAGCGAGACCGCTCTGATTCATTGGGTTACTGGGCTCAGTAACTATACGTATACCAGATCTTATGGCTGTGGCTCAAAAACACATGCCAAAATACTTTGAGCCACACCCTTATTAGTGCGACTTAGCTTTGGTTTAAAGTCCCACAGCCCATTCTGTTTGTGGGCGGGGCCCTTGAAGCGCTCCACTTGATCAGGTTCAGGGAAACCGCGGACAGGCTTCCCTGTAATTCCTCTTGAAATACTGTGGATGGTTGCGAAATCCAATTCGCACCACCTAAGACACCCTGGAATGATTGGATTCCCCAACGAAAATACCAGCAAACAATGGTTTCAACCATAGTTTCAAAGTGGTGCGAGAAGCGGATTTCGCAACCATCCACAGTATCACACCACCAAAAGGAATCTCGCTTTCAATTGGCTGAAGAGGGAATGGTTTTTGCATTTTTCGCAGGGGGCTGTGTCTTGAGGACGGGGCTGGCACAAAAGAGCTGCAACGAAATCTTGAACTCGAGGACATTTAGCAGAAAGCCGCAAAGCAAACAAAGCAAACAGAAGTTCATCGTTAAACATCCAAACACATATAGCCGGCTTGGACTTTTGCAGCCCGAATGAAACAAAGAGAGCACAAGGGCGTAGGGGCCTGCCTTCCTGGGCTGAAAATGTGCGCTTCGGCTGGTCGAAGCCATTTTGCGGAAGAAAAAAATCCAACCCGCCAAGTCGTCGCCAAGAACTGAACCCTTTCATCTTAAACCAACAAACCCAAACCAATTCAACCCAAGCCGACCCGAGCCCAAGGTTGTTGACCCTTTCTAGAAAGCAAAGGCTCATCTACAGATTCCTCTGAAAAGGTGGTTGGTCTGGTTTCATGTTGACACTTCCACCAGAAGGGACACGACCAACCGCAATTCCGCTTGACTTCCCCGCCCCCAAATAAAAACAAATATGTGCCAATCAAGGGGCTACCGCTTTAGGCACCAGAATCAAACCAGACGGCTTCTCAGGGCAGCCGTCGAACGGTTTCTAATACACGGGCTCCAATCGAGCCTTTTACAAGCCTTTTAGGCTCTAAGCCACACATCCAACCTATTTAGACTCCCCCGGCTCTCCTCTTAAGATGTCTTAAGCCACAAAAAAACCAACGACCTTTTTCCGGGCGGATCGCGCCTTAAACTTGAGGGGCTCTGCACGCACCACCCCAGAGTTCAGCATGTACATCCGCACCTGGCTCTCTGCCGTGGGCAACAGCCTTCTCAATTCCGTGGACATAGTTGCAGAGAATCGGCCTTCTGGGCTGCCCTCAGACCCCTCGCTAAAAGTTATTTTAGTGGGTTAAAAGGAAACTGCCACTAAACACTAAAAAGCTAAAAGGAAAGGAACCGATGGCTGGGAGCCACCAAGTTCTGTATGACCAAAGTGGGGTTTCCATCCCTACTGCTTCATCGTCTTGCAGCTAGTTGCTTGGTATCACAGAAATAAGCCTACAAATCCGCCCATGCGTGCGTTCACCGGCTCCGCCGGCTCCAACCCCCCGCAAGGATGACCCGCGAACTTTTCAAGGCGCCTCTTTGGTGGCTGGTTCCCAAAGATTGAGCCATAGCCTTCCCTAAAACAAATGGCAGTGTCTCATTAGATTTTGGTGAGTAACCGTAACTTCCTGTCGTGATCCCGTTTCTCCAATTGACTATACTGTAGCATGGCGAATGTTTACTGCTCACATCTCGGTGCACATCTCCAGGGACATCTGAACTGCGCGGGTCTTACTTGAGCAGTCGGAAGATGATCGACAAAAATGCATTTGTGATTGAGGATGGAAACAATTGTAACACATCGCTACGCGGACATACGAAATGAACCCCAAGAAGAAGTGAGCTTCGTCATGACATTTCGGTGCTAAACTAAAACCCCTTGCGAGGTCCTTGCAAGTGGCCCAACTAGAATTTGTGACCACCTTTAAAACAAATTTGCATATCTAGCTACAACAAGGAAGAGAGAGCAGGGAGTGATAAGCTCCTAAAAGTCATGGGACTGTAGAAATACTTTTAACAATCCACTCTTCACTCACCCTCCCGTCTCCCTCCGCTAAGAAATTCCCATGATTGGCACGGATGGAAGGGATAAAGAGACGGAGATAGAGGTTAGTGGGAGATGGGGAAGCGAAAGGCAAGGATTAGAACATCTTATGAATGCAATTTATATTCCCTTCCCCGTCAATTGTCTCTCTTCACTTTCTGTTCCTTTCTCTGTTCCATCCACTCGCCACGTCTAAGACGACCTTAGAAAAGCGAGGGAAAATGGGAAAGGAAAGGAAAATGCCCTCTCTCTCCCCTCTGTATCCTATATCTATGTCTGGGAGCGGGTGTGAAGGGGAGACAGGACAAATGATGGGCCCAGCCGTGATGGTAACGGCTGGCACTTATCTCTTTCTCTTCCACTGATTGACACGGCGTGAGCCCCAGGTCAGAGATCCGACCTGCCAACATGCTTCGACATGGAGAGACTGCCTTTGAACGGGCCTGCCAAGAGGCGACGAACCCAAAATGTGTGAAGCCTTTCAGACTCAAGCTCCAACCCAAACACGTCAAGGTCCCAAGAACAACGATCCCAGGTGGTTTTTCCCAAAGAGGTGTGTGTGTGTGTGCGTATGTTTTTGGAGGGAATGGTTTGTCTGGGGGGCCCCAAAAAATTGTGAGCGAGACATTTCAGCAATCACCGGACCTTCCGACGTCAACCCCTCCGCCGGCAAACTGCCAGGCGGCCGCGTCGGCGCCATAGCGATTGACCACGTCCTGGAAGAATGATTCTCAATTCTTCAGACCCCTCAAGGCACTTTTGCCTTGCCACGGGCGAAGGATCAGAATAACCCTTGCCATTGCCATCACCAAGCACACGCAAAGCTGATTCAAACCGGCGGGTTCAAGTGTGCCAGCTTACGCTTGCGTGCGCGCAAGCGCGCACATGCTACTCTGCTACTCCTTTGCAGGTGATCGGGAAAAGACAAAAATGCGACCATATCTTTCAGGATATCGCCTTTCGGACAACGGACCACCCTTTCGGGCTTCATGCTGATTTGTAGGGAGTGGAGATTGGCCCTTTCTGGTGATACCTACGGTCCTCGGCATGATCATTTTATCACTTGAAAGGGGGATTGCCTTGGCATCATGGAAACTGGCGCGAAGCACAAACTTTCCACAATCGTGCACACCTTTGGTTTGTCTGCGCGGCTTCAAAAATCGGCAAGAGGAGGGGCGCATGTCCGCATCCATTGCTTTCCTTGTGGCTTTCCATTTAAAAGAAACCACCCTTAAAAAAAGGGGCACCCTCAGAAAAAGAAGGCCCATTTGCCAACTGGTCTTGTTGCAATGTGGACTTCCCATCGCCGGTCGAAGCTTTTCAGTTCGGGCGGGCGTTCAACCCGACCAGAGAAAAATGGGGAAGAATCTAAAGCCGGACGACACTCGCCGGGGTTGGGTTGGCCCCTTCAAACATATAGGTGTGTCTCAAAATAGGGGACCCCCCCCAAATTAAAATCGTTGGTTTGTTTGTGGTTTCCTTGGAAACCACCATCCAAAGGGGGCGTAACTTATTTTGAGACAGACCCACATAGCAACAACTATCCCCTTTCACCAGGATAGAAATCGGACGCCCAGAAGCAAGAAACAAAGGCCCTGGCTTCTTTGAGGCTTGGAAGCCACTGCTTTTGAGCACTTCTCACAGGGAGATGTGGCACTTTGAAGGGGCCGGGCCAGGGTCCGGCTGTTCAACTCAATTGCCCAAAGGACCCAGATGGAAAAAACAAACTAAAGGGTCAGAAGTCAGAAGGCTTGAAATTCGCCTTGGACTAAGCCATTTGCCCAACCCCGACTGGCGCGTCGAATGCATTCCACTCGAATCGTGAGACTTGCGCATCCGGCGAGTCTCACCGCTATCGCTGGGCTCCACAGCCCCCATCGGATCGGTGATCCTTTGGCCGAAGTAGCTGAACAAGATTCACGCGTCAACGATTTTCGGGAACCCCAATAAGCTGAAGCTGACTGAACCACATTCAAGTGCCATTCTTCGAGCCCCTCCTAGGTCCAGGATCTTCGGTGCCCCGCGTTTCTTCGGCGCCCAACTCTCCCCACGAAACCGCGCCGAAGCCGCGGCCGATCCGCGGCGTGTCAGGCGCTGGCAAAGGCGTCGACGGCCTTGGTGAAGGCATCCAGCTTCTCCTGGCCCAGCCATATCTCAAAACCCGGTGGTAAAATGGTGGGACTCCCAGAACCAGGCTTTAAGAATTACAACCACTCTCAGCCATGAAAAAAAACGGCCCCTCCTACTACTTACCCCTGAAAACTCCCAAGCCCTGGGGAAGTTCTCATCTTTTACAGACATATAGCTTACATGTTTCCCCAAAAAGTTGAGACAAGTTGTGTTTTTAAGAGGTAAGGTTTAGGCACCTATTCTCAGTTGCTTGAAGTCTTCCTTTTGGTTCGGGAACCTTGCAACCAACCCTGTGTAATATTGAATGCAACAAAAACACAACCCCCCCAGAACCGGAGGTTTCTCCGGATGTCGACCTTGAGGCTTTTGAATCAGAGGTAACCCTTACCCCTGGGGTTCTCCTTTAAACAGAGTGCCTCTGGGCTCGTTGTTCTCCACACGTTTAGCGGCCATAGCCTTGTTTGACGTTGGGTTTGGGAAGCAAAAATTCGAATCGTAGCAGTTCAGTGGGGATTCACCACAATAAGCAAACATGTAAAATGTTTCCCAACAACAACCATGAAAAAAGGGGGAAATGGCAAGCCCTTTTCCTACGTATTGCAAGTGAACCACACCCAAACACCAAATCCTTCTTTGCGCAGCCAAACAATCTGGGTGTCCCTTGCTGCCTTGCGGTATTGAGTCATCCACTGCACCCCACCTGAACTTGCCCCAAACCCGTGGTACACCCAACTGAGAAAATTCAAATTCAATTTTCTTGGCCCACATCTGGGGCACACAGAACATATGTCTTCTTATTCTGTTTCACACTTAGTCTACCTGTAAATTCAATCGGTTGGAGGAGACCGAACAACTAGGCAGCCAGAAGGTTTGCACATATTTCCGGAGACAATTGTCTAGGTGGCCATTTGGAAAAATGAAGGGCACTAGCAAGTGCCTAGCAGACCCAAGCTCAGATAATCAATTTTCAGCCAAGGCCAGAAAAGAACCCTAAAACCACCTATGCCACTGACATGCAACCTTTCTCGTTCTTTTTTTGGAAGACCGTCTTCCTCACCCAAAAAAAGACAAACGCTTTCTGGCAATGTCCATGTTAGAAGAGAGGCTCGAAACCTGTGAGGCAATCTAGCGGAGACCTGGTGAAACGATGCCCAAATTGCCCGCTGGCTTCACCAAACGCAGAAGCCAAACCTGAATCTCACTTCTCGGTTGCTTAATCTGCTCCCCGGCTAAAAGTGACTAACTTTTAGTGGTCTAATTCGGAAAAAAACCATTAATTAGTTGGCAAAAAGTTATTCAGTCCTAACAGCCCTTGGCAACATGCGCCAAAGTTCCTGTGCGGATGGCCCAAGATCCCAACTTTTAGTCTGCCTCTGCAATGAAATCCAGTCCACGCACCCGGGAAGCGGGGGATTCATACAGCATAGAGGCCCTCAAGCGCCAGGCTGTGACAGGATCCCGAGGGTCTGACTTTGAAAGGCCCCCAGAAATGGACAAACTGCGCCCAGAGGGCCTCAAAACGAAATTGTTGAGAGGTTCTCAACAACTCCTGTTCGGGGCGGCTTCCCTTTTGGCATCGTTCAGAGGAGAATGGTGAGGATGTCACCTTTAACGAGATACCCTCCCACCAACAAACATGCAAGTGCACAAACACCTTTTTGAAAACTTTAAATATTCTATCTCCTCCAGTAGAGAGGTTAGAATAAGGGTATCCGATTTTTTCTGTAGTCTATGTTAGTAGGGTTGAACCCTCCCAACCAAAAACGGGGAGAGAAAGGGCACCAATTGCTGGGGGACCTAGTATTTGTGGCAGAGGACGGCCTCTGAGCTATCTCCTCTTGGTGTTACCTCCATCACTTGGCTTTGGTTTTACGTCCACGTCGTGTTCGTTTGCTTTGCGCATCTTGTCATGTCGGTTCGGTTGTGGTTTGTGGACTTTGGGCTTCCGGATTTCATTCTGATAGTCTTGGTTGTGGTCACGTCCTAATTTTCGGCTCAGCCGCCAACACTTCCAGCCAAGCGCAGGCCAAAAGATGAGCTAGGCACCAATTGCAGGAAAGGCGACCCTTTTCCTTGATATCGGTTGCTCCCCTGCAGATATTAACATGGGGCCTAAACAGCCGGTGATGTGAAATCTGAGTTGGGGCCCAGATTTTAGGCTCAACTTGTGTGTTCTCTGCGGGGAGTGAGCCCGAGCTCTTTTTCCACCGAGCTGGTGGAGAAGAACCCTGCCACCTCCAGGGTTCAGGGTTCACCGAGTCTTCCCAAATCCTATGACGGGAAACCAACGGTTGAAGAGAAACCCAAAGAAAATTGATGAAGCAGTTTGCCGGGGATGCTTCTCCTTCCTATTTGGTTTTGCCGCAAAATGGGTGTCTAATAAAAAAATAAAAAAAAGGGCTGTTAGTATTTCAAGAGAAAGCAACAGGGTACCAACCATTTTAGGGGGCGGATCCACAATTTGCATTGGGGATCTGCCAGCATGTTGTGCCGGCTTGCGTGAGGCCTACCTGTTTAAGCATGTCTAAACACCGCTTTGGCTTCCTTCATTTAGCCATGGCCCTGTGTTTAAAACTTGAATCAAACTTGCGACCGGTGCGATCAGGCTTCAGGGCGCAAATCTCTGAGACTCTGGTGGGGGGTTGGGAGGTACAGAAACAAGACACCAAGAGCCCAAGTGCCTTCAAGCTTTCTGTCCACGACAAAGACCGTACAAAGGCGCTCCCCTCAAAGTGCTGATTGGGGGAGTCCGGGAGGGGGGTCGCCAACGTTGGACATTTGTATTTTCCATTCAACACTCTGGGGAAAATACTACCCACTAACCTTCTTACCAGGAAGCTGAGACATGAATTGACCTCAGTTCTGATTTGTTTCTAGGGCCCGGGTCTCTTCAGTCTGGAGTCCCAACACACACGCAGTCCTTTACCACGGTCAAAGGAATGATGTCGTCCTGCAACTCGAGCGGACATGAGGTGTGTCATCGCCCAACAAACAAACACCCAAACAAACAAAGAAACAAACAAGCAAGCAAGCAAGTAAGCAAGAAAGAAAGAAAGAAAGAAGGCAAGAAACACAAACACACCCCTCTAGGTGTCTTGTTAATGGAATAGATGGTCTAGTTTCAAGACAACTTGCCTACAAGTATGCACACAAAGAAAACAGCCAGTTGCCCATCATTGCCCATCGCTTGAGCTCCATGAGCGATCTTCTCAATCTTCAAAAAAAGGATTTGCGTGTTGCACACAAGCAAAAAATGGGCCAAATCGCTCGAAGCAACGGTCGACTGACACATGGCTTTTAGTCGAGGAGCTGGCCGCATTCCTTCCCATGATCTTCCTCCATTTGCGATTTCGCCCCCTCGAGGAAAAAACACACATGTCCGGTAGTGATAAATTTCCTTTAAAACCAACAGGGGAATAAACAAATATTCCCAAGCAAATGGAAGAACAGCAGAATCATGAGCCCAGGAAATGGGACAAACTGCGTGAAAGAGAGATGTCTCGTGCATGCTTTGTCTTTTGCTTTTCTGCTTCTGTCTATTTCTTTTTTTTGCGGGGGGGAGGCTCTACAAAGAGCAGCGTTTGTTGCTAAAACTAGCACTTGTTGCTGGCAAGTGGTTTTTCAATGAGCGCACAACACCCGAACCAAGATGGGTATATGGTTTATGGAGCGCTTCCATCCACCCGTGAACCCTGCTCAAAATGGCTTTTTTCGGCGTTTTGGGCGCTCATCTGTTTTGTCTGATTTGATGTTCCAGTTTGTTGACCTGAGGTTCATATGTTGCAAAAGCCAGGGCCGTAAAGAGACCAACGAGATCGGCGAAGAGCTTCCGCTCCACGGCCAAGTTGATGTTGTTCTTCAGGTCTCGCAACATGTCGCTCACCTCGGATCGCAAACGGACAAACGTGCAACCGTGAAACTCAGATGCCGCGAGAAGCCAAGGGGCATCCTTTGTTGGTCGACTTCAAATGGGGACCCCTTCCCCAACCAAGCTGAAACCAGGCCGGAATCCACGCAACTGGGGAAATCCAGAAGGCGCTGGTTCTTCATGAGATACCAGCCAAGCTGCAAAAAACTGCGTGGCAAGCTGTGATACTCTGGCATCCGTCAGGCGATTTTCCCCTGAAGCAGTAGAACGTGGCCCTATGAGTCTGGCGAAAAACCCTGGCTTCCCGCCAAAAAAAACACCCAGGTCTGTCATTCAGTGATCCTCTCAGAGTGACTTCCTTTCGGAAGCGAAAGGGAGACCCCCCCCCCCCCAAGCAAAAGTCAGAGCGAAACAGTGTCAGCTCAGGGGCCACAGGAATAAATGTTTGTTGCTTGTGACCAATGAGGGAAAAAAAACCTGGAGGAAATAGTGTCAGGATATGTGCGGGTCAGCAACAAACAAGTCGGCCGGCATCGGCGAATTCGCTGAAAGCAAAAGTCCCATGCCCCCATGGTTTCCCAAAATCAGGCTTTCCCTACCGAACAGAAGTCCGCCATTTTAGGGAAACTCCATGACCAAAAGGAATCCCAACTTCAAAACCCTTGGTATGGTAGGGTTGATTCCAATTCCATTATTTTAACCATCGTTCTTTCCAAAAACCGATCGCCTTTTTCCCTGGGTTTCCGGAGATTTTCTAGAAAGATTCGGATCCCTGGGTTCAGCCCACCAAAAAACATATCCTAACTTCACAACCCTTACCATGGTAGCGAAACAAAATGCCTTGTGTGTTTGCAGCCCACCAAAAATCAAATCCCAACTTCACAACCCTTGCTATGGTAGCAAAAAAACATAGTTTAGTTTTTGCAGCCCACCAAGAATCAAATCCCAACTTCACAACCCTTGCTATGGTAGCAACAAAAACATACCCTGTTTTTCTTTTTGCAGCCCACCAAAAACCAAATCCCAACTTCACAACCCTTGCTATGGTAGCAACAAAAATACCTTGTTTTTTTGCAGCCCACCAAAAATCAAATCCCAACTTCATAACCTTTGCTATGGTAGCGAAACAAAATACCTTGAGTCTTTTTTGCAGCCCACCAAAAATCAAATCCCGACTTCACAACCTTTGCTATGGTAGCGAAAAGAATGAATTGTTTTTTGCAGCACACCACAAACCAAATCCCAACTTCACAACCTTTGCTATGGTAGCGAACAAAATACCATGTTTTTGTTGCAGCCCATTAAAGATCAAGTTGCTATGGTAGCGAAAAACATGCCTTGTTTTTGCAGCCCACCACTAACCAAATCCCAACTTCATAACCTTTGCTATGGTAGCGAAACAAAATACCTTGCTTTTTTAGCAGCCCACCAAAATTCAATTCCCAACTTCACAACCTTTGCTATGGTAGCGGAAAAAAAAAAAAAAAAAAAAAAAACATTTGCAGCCCACCAAAATTCAATTGCCAACTTCATAACCTTTGCTATGGTAGCAAAAAAACATAGTTTAGTTTTTGCAGCCCACCAAGAATCAAATCCCAACTTCACAACCCTTGCTATGGTAGCAACAAAAACATACCCTGTTTTTCTTTTTGCAGCCCACCAAAAACCAAATCCCAACTTCACAACCTTTATTAGCGAAAAAAATACCTTGTTTTTGCAGCCAACCAAAAATCAAATCCCAACTTCACAACCTTTGCTATGGCAGCGAAACAAAATACCTTGTTTTTTTAGCAGCCCACCAAAATTCAATTCCCAACTTCATAACCTTTGCTATGGTAGCGAAACAAAATACCTTGTTTTTTTGCAGCCCACCAAAAACCAAATCCCAACTTCACAACCTTTGCTATGGCAGCGAAAAAAAATAGCTTGTTTTTTTGCAGCCCACCAAAATTCAATTTCCCAACTTCATAACCTTTGCTATGCGAAACAAAGTACCTTGTTTTTTTTGCAGCCCACCACAAACCAAATCCCAACTTCACAACCTTTGCTAAGGTATTGTTTTTTTGCAGCCCACCAAAATTCAAGTCCCAACTTCACAACCTTTGCTATGGCAGCGAAAAAAAATAGCTTGTTTTTTTGCAGCCCACCAAAATTCAATTTCCCAACTTCATAACCTTTGCTATGCGAAACAAAGTACCTTGTTTTTTTTGCAGCCCACCACAAACCAAATCCCAACTTCACAACCTTTGCTAAGGTATTGTTTTTTTGCAGCCCACCAAAATTCAAGTCCCAACTTCACAACCTTTGCTATGGCAGCGAAAAAAAATAGCTTGTTTTTTTGCAGCCCACCAAAATTCAATTTCCCAACTTCATAACCTTTGCTATGCGAAACAAAGTACCTTGTTTTTTTAGCAGCCCACCACAAACCAACGCCCCGTGAAGCTACACCACGCGCCCTGCAGCCTCTCGACCCCAAAAGCCCATCGCCTGGTCTGGCTCCAGAAGCACCGTGTCCGAGTCCACATTCCTCGCGGGAAACTTTTTGAGCGAAACCAAAACGTCCGGGGCGTTTCATTTTTCTGGAGCTCCAGCATCTTCCCGGTGCCCCAAAAGGCATAACTGATAACTTTATTTGGCGTCTCTTTGGCTAGGGACCTGGCCCAGCTTTGCACTATCAATGGAAGTTTAGAAGGAACTTCCGCGGCTAAAAGGCAGTCTTGTGCACGAATAAGAAGAAGAAAGAATAAATGCGTGCGCGAGGGGGTATGTCGTAATACTGGCGGTCGATTCCCGATATCGCATTTGAGTTTCCACCACCATGGTAGTTGACTTGAAAGGGACGACGCTGCAAATATAGAGAGAAAAAGGGTTAGGGGCAACGCTCCAAGTGCGAATGGAGAAGCCTCCTTGCGGGTTTTTGAGTCAAGTTCCGAAAACCCTTCTAGGAACCAGGGTTTACATTCCGCGGTTCCTGCAAATCATGGGCAAACAGAACCAGGGGATCAATTGGGAAACTTCAACGTGTGGCAACCTTCGATCGCAGTTTGGGGTTGCTGCTCAAGGTCTGTTTGCTACCCACCTTCCAATGGCAGTCCGGATTTCTTTTGCCCGACCCGCTGAGTCAGAAGAGCTCAATGGTGAACAGGGATAACAAAAAGCACAAGCAGCTACGCTACCATGGAAGTGCATGCTGGGGTCTTGAAAGGCCGTTGGACCCTTGTCCAGTTTGATTGCTGGCAGAAGGGTGCACAAACATCGCACGATCTTCCAAACTCAGAGTCCAAACGAAGCTCAGTGCGCTTTGAACCAACAATCAAACAACAAAGATTCGGGTTGAGATGTTTCTCCAATTGCGGGCCTCAACTACTCAAAGAGCACCTGGCCCGTTTCGTGACCCTTGTCAAGCCTCTTTGAATGTTTACCGGGACAGACGTTTGTTGCTTTCGACCCAAGAACTCTGATTTCTGCTCCGTGCCAGCCGCCAGGTTGCCGCAAAATTGGCAGAAGGTTTGCTTTTCCGTGCCGGCGCAGTGTGTCTGTGTGTGTGTGTGTCTGTGTGTGTGTGTGTGTCTGTGTGTGTCTCTGTGTGTGCCTCCCTGTGTGTGTGTGTGTCTCTGTGTGTGTGTGTGTCTCTGTCTGCGTCTCTGTGTTTCTTTGTGTGTGTGTCTCTGTGTGCATGTGTGTGCCTGTGTGTGTGTGTCTCTGAGTGTCTCTGAGTGTGTCTCTGAGTGTGTCTCTGTGTGTGTCTCTGAGTGTGTCTCTGTGTCTCTGTGTCTCTGTGTGTCTGTGTGTGTGTGTGTCGTGTTTGTGCGTGTGCGTGTGCGTGTGCGTGTGCGCGTGCGCGTGCGCCACCCCCACCCCACCCCACCCCACCCCACCCCACCCCAACCCAACCCAACCCACCCCAACCCACCCCAACCCACCCCACAGCAAAGCACAGCACAGCACAGCACAGCACAGCACAGCACAGCACAGCCCAGCCCCACCCACCACGCTCACCCCACCCACCCGCAACCACAACAAAAAAAGTGCTGGCAATATGTTGGTTGGCTTCACTCATGCCAGGAACCCGCGCGCGTAGACTTGGGTCAGCGACCTGCGGATTGCGGGTGTTCTGCTGCGATGATCCCATTGGACCGGTGGGGCGATGTGAGTGGGGGTCTTTGCCAGGACAAGCCCCTCTCCCTGGGTCTTCAAGTCTAGCCAAAATGCACTTGCTATCCTGTAACGGGGAATCATGGCAATGATAAGCCTCAAATGCTCCGAGTGCCTTTGCAAGCCCCTGAGTCCCCTTGAAACATCTTCCCGGACTAGAGGACACTTGGCCCGAAAGCCGGTGGCCGCCATGCCTCCCCCCGCGACAAGCCGCCGCAAAGTCGTAAAAAGCCCTGAGCCACGCCGAAGGTTTAGTCGAACAAGTCCTGAGCCTATTTTCACAGAGGGCCGCGAGCGCCCCGCAGAGATAGCAAACAGCATCGACCGCGCCGATCTCTGCAGAAGGTCGCCCGAGCGTGATAAAACCCAGTTTTCAGTTTTTGGACATCGGCGCCGATCCCGAGACTGTTCACACCCACACTATTCCCACCACTCATGCACAGACTCTCGTGCCCAGCTCTACCCAGACTATTCCCAGAATACTCGCCTCTGCGCAGATGGCTCTGTGCAAGTTGCGCGCAAGTTGCTGTGTGAACCGGCACAGAAGAGCCCTGCGGCGCAAAGCTTTCGCAAAAAGCATTTTGCCCAGTTCGGGAGGTGAGCCAGACCTGCTTGAAACAAAACATCCACCTCCTCAAACTGCGTCTGCTCGTTGCCCTCACGAATTGCGCGTTCAACGGGGGGACTGTAGCAGTTCTGCCCATTGCAAATGCGGCAACTGGATAGGTCTATAACCGCCTGCAAAGAGTTAAGCCCGGCTAGGCAAAGACATTTTGACGAGGACCCCGTTCCGACATGTCCTGTTTACTTGTTTTGGGGATGGCCTTGCCGAGACGCGACGGTCCATATATTGGGTGATGCAAATCACCCACCCCGAATGTCGTGTTAGATCGGATCCACCCCTCGCACTCTCAGGAATTGATTCTGAGTCGCAAGCTTTTCCAGAGTAAAGACTGCACCGCACCCCCGCCCGAACTTCAAACCCTAAAGCTTGCCAGTCTGAGAAAAACATCCACTTCCATTTGCTTAAGCCCCCTGGAAAAATATCGATATTTCCAGCAGTGAAATCGATTCCCTTTGAAACCAACAGGGGAAAATAAAAATATTCTGAGACGCAAAGGGAAGTAAAGCCTTCCGAACCCCAAGGACAGCCAGTCTGGCAACATCCAATGCCAAAGCCCAGGCCTCTCCAGCGTCACCCAGGGTGACTCTGAGAGCCGCTGCACCGTGAAGACCAAGTCCCGGCCCTGCGAAAAACTTCACACTTCGGCAACCCCAAAATGGGTTGGGCAACCCCATTTTGGGTGGTTTGGGGTTTAAGTGACTTTCTTGGTGTAGTGATCAAAAATTGGTGGTTTGGGGTTTAGGGTTGAAGTGACTTTCTTGGCGCAATGGTCGCAACGGGCAAACATAGATTCTAGCGCCCTACGACTTCTTGGACTACTTGCGACATGCGCGAGTCAAACTTGGCGCGGTGTTTTTTTTCTGTTGGGACCCCAGAAGCGAGGTGAAGGACCCGCGAAGCCCTGCCTGAAAACCCCGAGGCCTTGGACACAGCCGAGGTCTTTGAGCTGGCGGTGGATAAAAGTCATCTTGGAGTTTTCACATCTATCTACTGCAGCAACGCTATCCAAGATCAAGATCAAGAAAGACTGGGTTGCCTCCTTTTTGTCCCTTGCAAGTCAACCATCTCACACAAGACTTAGCTCCTATCAAGACCTTTGTCATGGCAAGATGTGCCACAATGGCAAGAGACAACAAGTCAAGGGATGCGTACAATTCAGCAGTAAAAAAACGCTGAATGGTTTCTTACTGACCAATTCAAGTGTCCGCATTTTGGCACAAACGCGCTGCGAACAAATCCTTGCCTCCGCATCACTGGGCGGGCAACCAAAGTAAGCACAGCCAATAGTTTTCCTTTTGGTTCCCTTTAATTTAACCCGGTACCCTCAAAGAAACACACCTTCTGCTCCCTATTTTACGCATCTAACCATGCGATGTCCTGCCCGTGTCGCTGAACATTTTGACAACCTCCCCCCTCCCTGGTGTGTGTGTGTGTGTTTGCAGCCCCCACTACACATGTGCAAAGCCGAAGATAAAGCCAAGCATCACGCTGGTCTCTTCCCATTTGACTTTTCAGACACTGGGGGTCAACACTCGCCAAGAACTGCAGAACTGTTCAGGTTCCTCCAGTATCACCAAAGCAGCAATTGAGGTTCGGGACATGGCAGTGGGTCAAAAATAGGTACCCAAAATGAAAGCCTGGTAAATGGAACCAAGGACTAAAACCAGCGGTCCTCTGGTGGTTTCATTTTGACCCAGGCCATGGGTCAAAATCCAAATCGTACCCCCAGTGAACATCCCAATCCCCACTAAAAAGAAGCCTAAAATGGGTGGTGAATTCACCTACCCCAAACTGGGATCCAAAACGGTTTGGACCCACACATGGCAAACAGCAGTGATACTTTGGATGGACGAAATCCTGCACCACCGAAGAAACCCTGGAATGATGACTCCTCTGTAAATACCAAGTGGTGCGAAATGGATTTCGTCCATCCACAGTAGGGCGCTGGCTGCTTCGCTTCTCTGCCCAGGAAGGTTCCAACCCACCCGCGGTCTTCGCGTTCCGCCTCGTTCTTGGCTGCCTTCACGTCGTTCACCAGCTGCTCCTCGTCCTCCAATTTGAGCGTTGGACGCACGGCGGGGTGGCGCTTTAAGGCGGGTACGTACCCCTGTGTTTGTTTGGAGTCCATTTGAGTCATAATCAAAACCCGGTATTAAAAATTGGTCGACCCAGAACCATGTTTCAAGAATTAAGAACGCGGACATCCGCAGCTATTTATGGCAAGGGGATTGCCCCTAACCGGATCATCCCGAATCGGTTTTGATTGGAGCCCATTTGGCCAGTGGGATCCGACGCGCTTACAGCCAGCTAACATGTTGCGGGTCACACCCAAAAGGGCCAAGGGGCAGGTTGGCTGGTTGGCTGGCTGGTTGGTTGGTTGGTTGGGTCAATGAGCACAACGGGCAAGCTGCTCTTCATGCCCCAGGGGCATGTCCCGTTATGAAGCGGGTGGGTATCGATGGAGCCATGAACAAGGGGGTAATTATGATCTTCGGGTTGCTGGGCCTGCTTCACTCCACGCCCTGCCACTCTTTGCTGTCACAGGCGAAGGACTTGTCTTCCCAGGCAAACTTGCACCAACCCATCCCAGACTTGACTGCGTGTGGTTTGTTTATTGCGGGCGAGATCGCGGGATGTTAAACTAAGGAAGAGCATTCTCCAGCAGTACCGGGGCGGATGATGGTCCTGCCAATCCCGCTTGGCAACTGCCAACTGGCAGGCCCAGGTGACATGGCAACTCCAATCCAAGGCAACGTGAAGAACCCGATCTGATTCGCTCACTTCCTGAGTGGATGGCCCCACAAAGGTCCAAACCTTTATATAGTATGCCACTACAATGGTCTTCCCAAAAAGTACAAAGTCCATGAACTCAGGAACTGGGTTTAGGACACACTCCTTGTGTTTTCGCTCCAGGAAGGTGGCACTCGACTTGATGCGGTGGATAATCGACCAACCCCTAAACAAAAGATATGCATTGAATCCGGACCAAATCTTACAGTATCTGAGCCATAACATTCACCAAATCGAATGACCGTGCCTTTCTGAGGGCTTCGAACTGGCGCAACGCTGGATCGCAGGTGGTGTCTCTTTAAAGCCAACCAAAATGGGGCGCCAACTCCAAAACAAGACACGCCGAAATTCAGTTCCCTTGAAAGCCTTCGACAGCTCGTTTGCGGCACGTTGCGGCTTTGCGCCGAGAGATCTGGAAACAAAACCGCCGCGTTCCCCCCCTCCGGCCGGAAAAACCGACGGCTGAGTCTGATCCATATGAAGTGCACCTGAACATGGCAGAACCATGTGAGCCACGTCCTAAACGTGTCATGATCTGCTATGTTGTATCATTCTGCGTACGCCTCTAGCATGCGCCGCCTTACGCGAGTGGAGGTTTTCCTTACGCGACACATGTGGAGGGCTTGCTTACGCCACCAGCTTACGCCACTTTACGCGCGTGGAGTTGTTGCTTACGCACAGGTCGATAGACACGACTCTTACTAAACATGTACACAGAGGTTTTGGACGTCGCTCATGTCAAAAGCAAGCATCCTGCTCAAAGGCCATCAAAGTTTCATTTCCGGAACCCAGCTCGAGTCGGTCAATTTTCTGGCTTCCAAAAGCCGGAATGACAGGGGCTGTTTGCTAAGCAAAGAAGGTGATCGCCCTTTGCGGAACCTAAGGAACCTTGCCCAAACATCTGAAAACACGTCAACGACTCAAACGCGAAGGCAAGACGCAACGGCGGCTGAAGCCTCTTCTCAGTTCCTTTGGACCCAACTCCTGGCCAACCTTTTGGGACCTGGACTAACATGGTCCAAGATCGGCAGATCCTTTTGGTCCAAAGGTCGACTCGTTGCTTTTCTCTCCTCTTTTTCATTTTTTTTCGGACCGAGTTGTCTCTTTTTCACCGGGGCCTCGGTTTTTGCGAAGCGAGCGCACGGTGCGGGATGCGGGGGACCCGCGCCTTGGGCTCCTTGCCATTGATCTCTTTGATGGTATCGCCTAGGCACTCAGCCCACCCCTTGCTGGTGCTCAGTAGGGAATGATCCAAAGGTTTGGACATGAACCTTGGGTTCCCCTTAAAGGAAGCTATAGGGGATGGTTGTATTAACTGTTCGCTCAGTTGTGGTTGATGTGTTTCTTGCACGGGACATTTTGGCTCCGAGACACTGGACAAGACAACATGCATGCTGAGCATCATGTGCTCTTCTTTTATTTTCATGTGCGTTGCTTGGTTGGTTTGTGGCGTACGTGTGTTGCTTGATTTTCAGCCCGCCCCCCCTGCTGGTGCTCAGTGGGGAATAAGGCAGGTGTTTGGAAATGAACCTCGGGTTCCCCTTAAAGGAAGCCATAGGGGATGGTTACATGGCATCCCAAGCAAGTTTCAAGTCCAGCAACTCAGGAAGTGAGAAAATGAAAACAAGAGGACCCCATACCAATGTCCTGTTCTCGTGGTTTGGGTATCTAGCGGCAAACAGGGCCCTGTTCTTAGGTTGACGGACTCCTTCAATGGAAGCAACCATGTTGTTGATGGACTCCCTCTTCGGTTGGACTCCTTCCTTTACGCTTTGAGCCCCGCAATGGGAACAGGGCAACGGTTGGTTGTCCTTTGAAGGGAAGCCGAGTCCAACACAAGGAAGAACGGGAACTGGAGGTCGCCCCGAAACCCGAAACCAGAAACCCGCCAGCGCGACATGAAGCGAGCAGAAAAAAACAACTATATATGTTGTGTTGTTTCAACCATACCATGCTTAATATGGAAATACATGTAACAGTAACCATCACACCATGTATATACCATCAACAGAAAAATATATAATATACTATATATATGTACGCAACAATCTTACCATGACGAATTCCAACTCTGTGTTCCCAAACATTAAGCCAAAGGAAGTTTGGTTGTCCCTGACAAATCAATTCAGCAGAAAGATACACATTTTAGGAGAAAGCTGAACGGAAGGAAATGGAAAACCTATTGGGTTTGTCTCAAAATGGAGAAAGGCACAAATGGGTGGCTCCTTGCGGTTTGTTTAATCCAACGAAAGTGGCGTTCCTTCGAAAATATGATACTCCTGGACCTTCTCCTGCGGACCTTCTCCTGCGGACCTTCTCCTGGGTCTCATCCTTAAGTGGTTGCATTTGGAAGAGTCACAACTGTGTGTTGCGTCCCGGTGGTTTCCTATGTAAAGCATTAAACGGGCGGATGCCAGTGACCTACTGTTGATCCCATGTTAATAAATTCCTGTTTATTGATATGGGGGTGCTCCCTTAGTTGGGATTCAGACCACTTTTGCAGAAAAACACCCCCACCCCCCATATAAATATAAAGGCAGGGGTTTCTCGGGGTCAACATGGGGCTTTTCTTCTACTTCGCTGTTTCTGGCATACTTTTCTCTTCTTTTGTTGTTTGGTTCTCTTCATGTTTCGTGGCTTGCAAAAACCTCGCGGGTTGCTCGCCTGCCGACCGGTTGGGGGCAGAAGTCTCCCATCCCCGAGGCGGCGGCCCGTGTTCCAGCCCAGCTTGCGGCTGTTCACCGCTGTGATGGTACGGTCCTGACCGTGGTGCGCGGTTGAACGGTTTGGTGCCCCCCACCTTCCATTCGTGTTTTCGCCCAAGGGGAAAAAAACAAAAAACATTTCCAGTAGTGAGAAATCCCCCTTAAAACCAAGGTGAGAAAAATAATCGAAACATATTCTTGAGCAATTCAATCATTGCCAGCCCTGTTCAGCGGTTTATACGGGCTCCAGCACTTCCCAAACCTATGGTGGAACATCACCTTGAGCATAGCCGACCTTTAAAAAAAGGAAACCCTGGCAAATGGTATATAGAACCAATCTAAACCTGTGGAACCCATGGTATTTCTAGACAAACTCACCTAAGGATCCTTGAGCCCTTGAGGTCCCTTAGGCCATAGCCCATGCACTTGGGGGTGAATCTCGGGGTGTTTGGACGCGTGTCTGCGGTGGTTTCAAGCCGATTCGGTGGCTGTCGTTTTGTTTTTTTTGCGGGGTGGCGTCCCATCCCATGCAAACGGTCTACGAAAGCCAGGGTTCAAATCCAAATCCAAACCACCAACTCAGGTTTAAAATGAATATGGGTTACTCCCCATGACCAAACAGAATGCAAGGGGATTATCCTGGCCACTCAGAAAATCGGACTCAACCTCCCCCCTCCTTCTTCAACCCACAACCCAGGGCACACCAACAATGTAACAAAAGAAGTTTGTGATTCAAAATTTGAAATATGGGGGCACCCTTCCATGGAAGGCAGCACATTCCGCACTTGATTGCCTGGGCCTGGGCGTGTGGGCACTTTCGCCTGGCGATTTCCCCAGTATGATTGTTTGTTTGGTTGGTTGATTGCTGGGTCGCTGGGTCGCTGGGTCGCTGGGTCGCTGGGCGGGTGGGTCGCTGGGTGGCTGGGTGGGTGGGTGGGTGGGTGGGTGGGTGGGTGGGTGGGTGGGTCGGGGGGTCGGGGGGTCGGGGGGTCGGGGGGTCGGGGGGGTCGGTTGGTGGGGCTGTTGGGCTGTCTTCAACTCAGCATCAGGTTCTAAGGCTGCAACATGGAGCAAGGATTCAACTCTTCTATCCCCTGTTGATGTTTCTTGAAATCGCAATTAGGGTAGGGGGGCTAGACATCTGCGAGTTTCCTTGAACCCGGAGGTTATATTCTGGTTGGCGAAGACTAGAGCCTGCGTAACCCCAGCTAATTCATTTTGAACCACACCGTTTTGATTGGTTTTAAAGGACAACCAGAAGGAAACCACCATTTCTGGGGTCCCCTAAAAACACACAGACTCCTATATAATTGTTGTGTACTGTGTATACTGTATATCCTGTTAAACCGCGAGGGGCTGTCGTTTTGCGGGGTTTTGCAGCAACCATCTTAGACAATCCCAGCTGCCAGTCGACTGGCATCCGGCCTCGATGTCGACGCCCACACTCTGGCCCGCTGGCACTTTGATGGTGAGAGTGGAGTACATCACATTGCTGAAGACCTTCCAACAAAAGGGCGGCTTTTCGTACCATGCCCGGAGGTCAAGGAACCCGAACCCATGGAGAAATGCCCACTTGGGTGTATATATATATATATATATATTCCAACAAGCAGAAGGGCCCGCCATGCAGCCTGCATTGTGACATAAACCCCTCAGAACAACACGCATCAGTACCCCATTCTCATGGTAATGCCGGGCCGCTGTCCCAACCAAAGGCCCTTCTTCCCACCGGAGTAAAGGTGGTCTCTTGGAGGCCTTGCATCTCGAACGGGGGGTGGAGCCTGTCAACCGATTTCGATTAAACAGGGTGGCCCGTTTCTTACCAAAACCCGTAAAGTGGACACATGAACAGCAAATGGCCCCCAAAAACTCACTTCCTGAGAGGATTGGCCAGAAGAAGTCCAAACTGTTTATTTTCCAGCAACATTCCCAAAAAGCGCAAAAAGCCTATGAGCGAGGCTCAGGAAGTGAGAAACGTGTAGGTCTCTGTTTGGAGGTAAGCTAAACTTGTTGCGTGGTTGGCCTTCCATTTCCCCACAAACCACCACGGGGGAGAACCCGTTCAACCAATTTCTGGCACCCAAGGGACACTAACCCACATGTCAGAGATATGCCCAGTGTTCATACTTTCTGAGGGTACCAACACGTCGGTTTACACAAAAAGCCGGCTACTTTGCCCTTTCGCCATACTTATCAAAAAAAAAGAGACGCGCGCGAAAGCTCCGACTCCGCGCGCCGCAGCTGCGGCGCTTTCCAGCCCCCGCGCGCTTTCACCCCCCGCGCGGGGAGTCCACGGCCTCCAGGGCCTCCTTGGCGCCGCCGGCGCCCTTCGCCGCCACCGAGGCCCAGCGGTCCTGGACGACGAAGGACGGAGGACGAAGGCTTCCACGGCGGGGGGTGGCTGGACCACGAAAAGGCGCCGAAAAAAAAGCGGGTTGCGCTGGGCAGGGGAGGTCGGGGCTTGGGTGGCTCTGCAAAAACAAAGGCAAAAGACGTGGCGGGTGAAAAGAGGGCTTCCCAAAAGGGGAACCACCTATGTCCCGAATTTTGAGAAACACCCAAAACTTGATGGTGCGATAGGCAGGGAATGAGAAATGGAATGACCCCGAACTAAACCGTCCAACTGGTGGTTTCCTTCAAGGGAATCCCCTTCCGGTCATTCCCACATTCCCTACTGAGCACCAGCACGAAACGAAAAAAAAATGGGGAAGACCTTGAAGACGGCAACCCAACAGGTGTACTAACATGATTCACCTGGTGGCGTGGGAAGATGCCAAAATCTCTCCGGGTTGGGTCTGAGGTGCAAGAAATCGCTGAATGTCCACGAAAAGGCCGAGGACGCGTCGAGCAAAATATCCACGCACTTTGATGCGCTGGTTGAAGTTGTTAATGCTGATGTTGAGGGAAGCTGCCAAGTCTTTCTCGAATGGGTTGAAGTCCAACGGTTGAGAGGTTCGAAGCACCTTCGAGGTAGTACTCCAAAGTAGAGATTCAACGCGCGACCTGAGAGGGCTTCGCGACCTGAAGCCCTCTTAGGTCACGAATCGTCCGTGGCTCTTCGATCGGAGAAGCCAATTCGCCATCCCTTTATGGATAACCTGAACAAGGCGAACGTCTTCAATGCGCATGTCAGCCATGCCGCGATCCCGCATGTGGGGAGTGTTCGTCACTTCCAGGGAAAGGTCTCAAGTCAATTCTGCCAGCCGGGGAAAAACAAAAGATTCCAGCTGGCTATCAGAAGAACCGTCAATGTCCTGGAGATGTCCTAGGGCTCTCACCTACAATACCCCTCCGTCCGCTCTCCAGTTTGTTTTGATACTCCCTACTGGCAAAAAAGGAAATATGCCATCTACTTTCACCCCGCTAGAATAGGCCATGCTTTGATGTATTTCCCAGGTTCGACTCCTCCTCTCTCATGAACTGTTGGCCCAAAAAAGTAGTATTAGTCGATCCTTATGTATATATATATATATATGCACATACATATTGTATATATATATATATGTATTATGCATATGGATATATTATATTATGCATATGTATATATATATATTATGCATATGTATATATATATATATATATTATACATATGTATATATGTATATATATATATTATGCATATGTATATATATATATATATTATGCATATGTATATATATATATAGTATGCATATGTATATGTATTATGCATATGTATATATATTATGCATATGTATATATATTATACATATATTATATATATTATACATATGTATATATATTATGCATATGTATATATATTATGCATATGTATATATATATATTATGCATATGTATATGTATTATGCATATGCATATATATTATGCATATGTATATATATTATGCATATGTCTATATGTATATTATGCATATGTATATATACAACACAAAATAACAAAAACAATTGCGGACGCTGCCCTTTTGAAGGCCCCTTTCAGGTGCACGGACTTAGGCTAAGAGGGTACTGCCCCAGCTGAGCTTTTCTAGGCCATAGAATGATGAAGCTCCAGACCCTTCATTGCAGTCATTTCATTGCCGGCCTTGAGATTGTTCTTTTTGTTTGATGGGTAGTGCTGGTGGATAGGGAATACTCCCAGATGGTTGAAGGTTGGTTTTGAAGGACACTTTTGACGATACAGGCGCTGAAGGTTGGTGTAAGCCCGCTAGGTTCTACCAAATGATCACGGGTTGCTACATGGCAGATATGAGACGGTTCCATGAAGCCAGGTAGAAGCACCCACTCCGCTGCATATTGACATGGAACCCCAAAAAGAGGTTCTTAAAAGGAGATCCCTCCACAAATGAGGTTGCCTTGCGGTCCGTGCCAGACTACAACCAAAAATACTCTTGCTGGAAACCGCTAAAAATGGGCTTCCCCCAACAAAGATTCAAGTCCACGAGCTCAGGAAGTGAGGAAAAGGGCCTTCCTCGGGGCGCCGGGGCTTAGGATCCTATCACCCCAAGAGGATTCTCAGCTTCCAGTTGAACCCCCCAAGGTTGACCCCCTATTCATCCACCCAGCTTATTCATAGGGGGGGTGTCCCCCTCCAAAAGTGAACCATCCCCACGAAAGCCAGGGACACCCCCAGATCTTCCATTCGCGTTTTCGCCCCCTGGGAAAAATGAGAAAATATGTCCAGTGATAGATTCCCTTTCAAACCAGCTGGGGAAAATAAAACATGTTCTTAAGCAAATGGATGTCATCAAGTGGCATTTCCAAAGTGCGATGTGTACACGTTCTGAAAAGGGACATGTGGGTATGTATCAAACTAAGGTGACCACCCATGTTCGGGTGTTTTTTCTTTGGGTTCCCCTTTAAACCAACCCCCAAAAGGCAAGAGGGCCCCTCCCCCAAACTGCCCACGCCCTTTTTTTGGGACCGGTCCCGTCTGTTCACCTTCGACTCCAAACCGGTCGCCCCAGAGGCCTGCAGCCCATGCAGCGCTGCTTGGGCCTTCAGGATGCCATCCTCGAGACTCAAACATCAAAACCCGGGTAGATGAAAGAATGCTTACCCCTTAAAACTCCAAGCCCTGGGGAAGTTAATATTTTACAGACATATAGCCCATGTTACTCAAAAAGTTGAAAAGCTGTGTTTTTAAGAGGTAAGAATGGGACGATGGATCAAACGAGAATGGGAATCACACCGTACCTTCATGCTGACCCCGGAATACGCTTCAAGTCTTCGAGACCCTTTTTGGACGCGATCAACTCCCGGAAGAAAAATCGTGTCTTGTAGGCGAGAAACGAGAGCTGCCCAAGTGAGCCACTTCCTCCACAGCCGCGTAGATGAAGGATAGTAAAAAACAATCCCCTTGCCATAAATAGCTGCGGATATCCGCCTTCTTAGCTCTGTACATGGTTCTGGGTCGACCATTTTAATGCCGGTTTTGATTATGACTCAAACGCGAGACACTTTTCTTGCTGTTGCGATAGGTAGGGAATGAGCCATGGCGTGAACCCAGGCTTTGGTTCCCTTCAAGGAAACCACCAGTTGATTGTTTTATTCCAATTCTCATTCCCTGCCTATCGCACCAGCAAGTATTGCGAAAAACTTGGCACCCACCTCCGAACGCGTGGATTGGCCAGAAGAAGTCCGAACTGTTTGCTTTTTGCCACTAAAGAAAAATGGTCCAAAAAGTGACTCAAGTCCAAAGCGGGAGGTGAGGGCACTGCACTTGGGTCCCCTCCATCTTATGTCGTGCTTCTTGGGGGTAGACTCGACAGGATCTGGACATGTGATGTTTTGGGTGCACCAGCGTTGGCCGATTATGACGAAATGTGTGTTTCAAGTACCCCATAAACTCAGCCCTACTTATTTGTGTCCAGAAGAAACAAGAACCTACTAAACGGCAGGTCTTTGACAAGAACAACGGTTGAAAATGGGGAATACCCTCCCCCATTGCCTTCATTTGCCATCCCGCACGTAAGGGCCAAGGGGTCTTTTCTCTTGCTGGTTTGATCAGGGCAACGATGGAACCCCGAGAAAAAAAAAACCTCCCGATGGTTTCCTTTTGGGAATCCCTCCGGTTCACTCCCAAAGGCCAAAGTTGTTCCCTGAGCAACCAGTTTTCCCCCATGTGCTGTTTCAACCGGGTTCCCACTACCAATACGTCCAAACGTCCCCTACCAAGCGGAAACTGGGAGTGATGGAAGAATTGGCTTCAAAGCGAACAAATAAACAACTATGGATTCCGATGGTTTAATCTTCCAAATGTACATTTGACCCAGTGGTTGATTTCCTAAAAAGCGAAACCGGGCCTGCTGTCTGATTCGGACATCCCCTTTGGGGATACAACCCTCACTCCCTCCCCCCCGAATGCTGGGAAGAAGGAGCACTCTTTCCTTTTGTATTTGTGTTTTTCTCGAAAGGGCTCGATTCCTCGTGGTTGTCCTTTTGGTTTTTCTGCCCTATTTTGAGACCATTTGGGTGTCTTTCTCTGGGACGCCCCAAATTGGTAGTTTTCCTTTATGCTTTCCTTTACAGCCAGCCCAAAAAAAGTGGGCTCCTTCAACATACGACGAGCCCCCATTTCATTCTCAAGAGAAATCTTTGGACCGGGGCTGGGTCGGCCTCTTGGACGAAAGGCCCACCGACGTGTCCTTCTCCGGGCCCTTCACCACTGCGGAGGCCGACAGGGGCGTGGTCAAGGTGGCCAAAATCTGCGCGGGGTTTCAGGGTTTGGGCAGAAATGGAAATCGAGGTCTGTGTTGAGGGTCCCCATTCTGGGCCTACAAACACAAGAAAACCAACCCGTTGTTGTTGGAGGTTCCCCTACTTTGACACACACCCCAAAGCTCAACCCACGGCTTCTGATTCAGGCGCAAACAGGTACCCCGGTCACCCCCGGTACTTCCGTAAGCGCGATCCGCGGGCGCGCTTCTTTTTGCGGCTTGCATCCGTTCGCGCTGTCCTCATGCAAGTTAAAGCTATGCTGTTACAGGCACTCGGCTCATGCAACCACCGAGTTGAACGCAGCCACAGTGAGGTCTATTTGCGAGTAGGTACTCGAGGAAAATGGCGCAAATAGCTTTCCTTCTCCAGCCTTGGGTTCGGAAAAAACAAAAAAACCTTGGGCATTTGTCATGCCAGTTTTCGTTTTTGCCCCACGTCAGGTTTCAGATCCCTGCTAATCGTTTGACTTTTAGAGGGTCAACTGGAAATCCACGCTAAACGCCACAAAGCTAAAAAGCTACGGGGATGGCTGGGAGCCACCAAGAAACATGGCATTAAAATCCTCTGCCCAAAATCTTTTGAACCATGACGGCTGCCATGGCAGTTGAGACTCCCTTGTGCTTCGGGCGTGTGGATGAAACGAAAACAGACCCTCCGATTGTCTACCCAAACATACTGTGGATGGACGAAATCCTGCACCACCCAAGAAACCTTGCAATGACGGCTCCCTCGTAAATACTTGGGTTCCCATCGTTTCAAAGTCAGGATTTCGCCATTCACAGTATGCTGGTCATTGCTTTAAGGAACGCCGTCTAAGTCCGACTGGTTTTAGAGCTCTCTTCAACATCGCACCTGCCTTAAGGGGGAGGGAGTGGGGGGGTTCCCAATTCCATTTATCTAGTATTTCCCAAAGAGAAAAGAAACCATAAATGGAAATCTACTGACCCCCAGCTTTCCTTTTCAGGAGGTGAGGATTCTTCAACATCACCCCATGAAAAGACGACTCACTTGACAAAAAGGTGATGCTTGCAACAACAAAACAAAAACAGGACATGTGAATTTATCACGATATGGTGGATCGCCAAGATGATGTCTTTTTGGTTTCCGCGTGAAACCAGCCAAAAGGGCTCCCCAAATGTTTGGTGGTTGATTTCTTACGGCACCACCCCATCAATCAAACGAAAACGAAAAAGGGGCAGCACTGCCAGCACCCCCCAACGACCGCTTTTTCTCGTGCCCAAAATTTCCAGCGCTGTCCAAAAAGCGCTTTTCGTTGGGGCGGAGGGGCTAGTTCATAAAATCCAAACCGCACTCCCCCCCAACCCCCCCACAGCTTTCCTCCAAAACAGACCAATCAGACCTCAATCAGATCGTATTTGGAGGAAATCAGGTGAAGGGGGCCCAGAGGGAGGGCGCGAGAGGGAGTCTTATGCGGGCTAAAGCCGAGGGGGCGGTCTGCCGGAGCACGGTCAGCGAAAAGTGGTCCCCCGACTGGATGGGCTCCAGGGCGGTGATGAGGTCGTCCATGCCTCGGTGAACGTTTCATAGGGGGCTGGGGCCTCGGATGATGGGGCTGTGGGGGGGAAGGAGGGGACGGGGCGGGGGGGAGGAGGGGATGGAGGGGAGGGGACTGTTGGGGGAGGGGGCCCAAATAGGGCTTAATAATGGGCTCCCTCCCCAAATACCCCTCCCAACCACACCAAAACAAGTTGCCACTGTTTGCCGAGTGAAAGGGAAGCCATTGTTGCTGGCTTGTGGTTTGCTTGTTGCGTTTGATCCTTTGCGCCAAGAGAAAAGATTGCTCGGCACGCCGAAATGTCATGTCCCTTGCATCCACCGCCTGAGGTGACTTGAACCTAAATCACTAGAATGGGGTTGCGGGGTACCATGAAACAATCGCCCGCATTATCATCGGAGATGTACCCCCCGCAGAAAGTTAAATCATCTGGGGCACATAGTGGCAAAATAATAGCCCTTCATATTGCACCCCCTGCAACAAATGTCACACATGGGCGTAAATAAATAAACAAACTGGCAACCTAAAACCCGACCACAAAGCACAAAAGAGCCAAACAAAAACACGAGTTCAGTGGGCCAAACATCGGATTTTCCACGACCGCGAAGCTCACTTCTCAGCCATACTGGGCCCATCAAGCAAAAACAAGAGCCACACAAAAACAAACACTTGGCCCAAAACTTCCATTTTTAGAACCCCTGGAAAAACTAAAAATGTTTCCAGTAGTGATAAATTCCTTTTGCAACCAACAAGGGAAACTAGCGCATACTCTTAATTCTTAAGCAAATGGAAGAAAGTAACCCAAGAGTGGGCCAAAAACACGTGAAAAAAACTCATGCCAAGCGCGGCGGTGGCTGCGACGGATCACCAGGTCGCCCCGGGAGATGATGATGTCCCCGGCCCTGAGCCCCGCCTTCTTGGCGGGGGATCCAGGGAGCACCTCTCAGGGTCGAGTTGGCCGCATCCACTCTGTATATATATATATGTATATATATATATACACCCTTTAAATGGGTCTCTATATGTGTATGTATATATATATATACACATACCCCTTTAAGTGGAGTGACATCCAAAAAGCAAAAAACAACTAAGGACACCTGTAAATGGATCTGTCTCTTTTTGGGGGACTCCCCTGTTTGTTGGCTTCCCTTATATCCAGCCCAAACAGAAGGGCACCCTCCACCAAGAGTAATGTTGATTGAACTCCTCAGAATGTTCACGGTGTGCTTTTGAGGATACCCTTTGTGAGGTTGGTCTCATGTGTTTGATTCTGGTCCCGATTTAGCGAACCTTATGCTCACTTCCGTTGGTCAGATACAAGTTCCGACTTTCTCTCCGCCACCTAAACTCAGTTGTTCAGTGCCCCTGGCAAAAAGAGGGAACCCTTTTTTGGGAAGAGCATTTTTAGTGGGGCAGCCACCAAAAAAAAAGGGGGCAAAAAGGGAGCCACTGAACAACTGAGTAAATAGACTTCCAAAAAGGTGACTCAAGCTCGGGGAGCGGGTAGTCCTTCCCTTGTGTCCAGCTTCCCAGAACACCACAGAGGCTTCTCTCAAGGATGTCTTACTCTGATGGACTCAGCAAGAACCAGTTGAGCGGCACCCAAACCGATTGACTGCCGTATCTGTTCCATCCAAAAAGCAGAGGCGGTGGCTACAAGAAGGTGAGGAGTTTCTGAAAGCCCTGAGATTGAAAAAAATGGAAAAAGAAAAGGAACAAAACAAGCAACCCACTGTCAGTTCAACTTTTAGTGGGCTCAATGGGAAATCACAAACACTAAAAAGGGAAAAAGAGCTCAGGGGGAGCCACCTCAACAAGGTGGTGTTTTCGACTGTTTCGACTGTTTCGACTGTTTCGGTTTCGGTACTGTCACTTTAACTTTTCGTGGGTTCAAATGGGAAATCCCTAACCCCAAAAGGCGAAACAGAGCTCAGCAAAAGCAACCCATTTCTAGAAACCGGTTTGCATATGGCTTGGAAATCCCAACCACCAAAAGGCTCAAGACAGCTATAAGGGGGCAACCGTTTTCCACCGTTTTCGACCCTCCGGTTTCGGTTTCGCCGGAAACCCGCCGCTTGCGGCAAGCGCGCCTCCTCCACCACCACCCCCCCCTTGGCCACCCCCAGCTTCTCCGCGAAGCCGTCCGGCGCCAGGAACCTCGGATCGGTCCGATCGCATCGGATCGGATCCGTCCGGATCATCCGAGCCGAGGCGGACATGAAGGCAGGTCCGAGCCGAGCGGACCGGAGAAAAACGCGTTTTAGAGCCACACATGTATATACACATATATATATATATATATATACATCATATATATATATGTATATATATATATATATTATGTGTATATGTATATATGGTACCCCTTCCCCCCCAATGGACCCTGGTTTGGCGCGGTTGACCTGTATGTGTCCAGTGTTTTATGTTGTTTATTGCTTCTTGGATTTAGTGTCAACATATATATATACATATAATATATATATATATATGCACCATATACAGTGTATATATATATATATATGTATATATATATATATTGTGCATATATTATCCCATGTGAACCCAGGTAGAAAAACCACCTAGTAACATGGCCAATGGGGGATTTGGTCACTGCTGGAATGACGCAAGACATGGATGTTGACTTGGTTTTTAAAAAGGGACACCAAAAGGACAGCCTTCATCCAGCTTCCCCATTTTGACACATACCGCAGCAAAACCGAAAACGCAGAAGGCAAAATGAAGGAAGAAAAAGTGACAGCTGATGAGCTGGCCAAAAAGGAAGAAGGGCCAAGGGAATCCGGAAAACCGAAAAGGAAAACCAGAAAGTCGAAGCTGGGAAATGAAAGCCGAAAGGAAAACTGAGAAGGAAAAGTTCAAAACCAGCACCAACACCAAAATCAAGCAAACTGAAAAAACTAAAAAACAACTAAAGACCTCTGTAAAAGATAAACACAACGGAACGCTGGACAGTTGGAAAATGAAAAACACTGGAACAGTTCATAAAGCTGTAAAACCAAAACCACAACTGGGAAATCTAAATATATCCAAAAAAAGAACGAAAAAACTGGAAAACTGGAATAACTAATATATGTATATATATAGTATATAAACAAGAAAATCGGACACCCGCAAAGGAGAACACACCAGAACTCGGTTTCTTTCTGCTCCCCTGCTAAAAGTTTAACTTCTAGTTGTTTAATGGAAAACCCATAAGTTGGAACATCCAAGCAACATGCACCAAAGCAAAGCTTTTGTTAAATCAAATCGACCAAACGAATTCTCCACGTCTTCAGTCGACCAGGGGGCATGCCCAGCGCCGGGCGCGAGACCCGGCCGGAAGCCAGGATGCTGCTCACGTGCTTCCGCAAGCTATCCTGGACGAAATGGCTAAGGGTTTTTGGAATTACACCCTGGGAATACACCCACTGCTTGGTTGACGTTGGGTTTGGGGAGCAAAAATTCTCAGATTTTAGCAGTTCAGTGGATTTGGATTTCAACCACTAAACCACAATAGGCAAAAATGTAAAATGTTTCCCAACGACAACCATGACTGGGTATTCACCCCCATTTATGCACATTTCCGGATAAGACCGTTTTTGAACCATGGGTCATTTCCCAAGGCTGCTGTAATACAAACACCTTCAGAATGGGGGGAGGGGGAGGTTACGAACCCAAGGACGAGCAGTAAGAATAATGCGGACTCCCAAAACCAAAACTAATGTATATATATATATATATATCTTTGATGTTTGTTGCTTATTTTTGGTTCTACTAACTCTGTTATTGACAATATGAGGATTTTTGACAACCACAACAAGTCGGACCCTAATGAGTTTCGGCTTTTTATCGGTGGTTTCCCTTTGCACCCACAAAAGCGGGCTGTCCGTTTTCAGATCCGCTAAACGCTCAACTTTTAGTGGGTGACATGGAAATCCAACCACTAAACACTAAGGAAAAAAAAAAAAACGAAGGGGATGGCTGGGAACCACCAAGAATACTCAGATCGAGTCGCTTTTTTGGGTTCTTTGTTGTTGGTTTGTTTTGTTCAAACAAAATGATGAATCAGATTGTTTGTTCTCTTATGTTTTATTCACAAACACATATTGTACATGAGACGGTTCTTTTTCGTATTGATTGAAACCAAAAACATATACAAACAAATACACAAACAAACAAACAAGGAAGCAAGCAAGCAAGGAAGCAAGCAAGGAAGCAAGCAAGGAATCTTGCAAGGAATCTTGCAAGCAACCAAGCAAGCAAGCAAGCACGGTTTTAAAACAAAATGTGTGCAACCAGTGAAACAAACAAAACCCCAGCAAAACTAAACAACCAACGCACGCACACCCACCAACAAGCAACAACGGTCAGAATTCAACAAACAACACGTCCGGACTGTTGGTGATCGGACAACACCACTTAAGACAACATGTGAAATCTGCACGGGACACCCAAGCAGCATCCATGGTCATGTCCTTGACCTGGCCAATGCTGATCCATATAAATCCAAAGTGACAGCCTCAAAATGACCCTTTTTATTTTGAAGTTTGAGAACCTTGGAAAGGGAGACCACCGGAGCCACAAACAATTTCGAGAAGCCTCGAGATGCAAACCACATTTGGGTTAATCCCCCCCAAGACGGGTACCCTCAAAAAAAGACATATCCATATGTGTTTGATGCTTTCCGGATCTATTCTTGCAGGAGAAAATGCTGGGATGCCGCATTTTTTTGAGGGTGATTAATCAGAAGGGAATCCCGCCCATTTTGTGGGCCCCTAAAACACACACACACACACCCATTTAAGCCCCCAGTGCGCGGCAAAAAGCCACGACGTGTCTCACACCGAGCATCCGAGGGGATGCTCTGGCCGATACGGGGATCCTCTGTCTGGGCCACTGCCATGCCGATGACCTGGCCTCACCGAGAGACGGGGTCGCCCAACATGAGATTCAGAACATGGGTGGCTCATCTGTTTCTGAGGGAACCCTTGTTGATAACAGGGGATGTCAATTGGATTCCATGCCAACGTGGAGGGTAATACCTTACCATGGTTATAATCTTCCACTTGCTGATACGTCCCATGGAATAAAATGAGACATTATTTGTCCTGTGGTGAAATCAAGTCCTTTTAACACCAAGAGGGGACATTGAGCATATTCTTTTCAGCAAATAGAAGGAACATGGGTGTGTCTTTCTTTGAAGACAACCTCACATGCTTCCAAGAAACTGGTGAAAGGTCACTATTTTGACTGCTGGTCAAAGATAGAAATTGGGGCTCCCTTTAAGCGCTTAGGGAGCGATTTCTGACGCCTGCAAAATGGGAAATGCAGGATGGTGGGTACTCGGTGAACTTTCTAGAATCTCCCTTTTGGCAAGTTCATGAATTGTGGGCAAAAGGCAAACTTGAGCCAAGCAAACATGGACTTGGAGGGGCTAAACAAAAAAAATCAGGATCGATGGCGAAATTGGGTCAAACGCCAGGTGGCTTGAACCATGGGCGAATTGTGGGGAATTTCCAGGTGCTTGATTTGCGTTTCTTCATTTCACCGCCAACAAAAACACCAAAAGCATCCCGAGTGGTTGGACCATGGGCGGATTTTGTTGGTGGAAAAAGTGAACTTGGCCAACGCCCGGCTCTGACCAACGCCCACTGAATTTACTTTTGGCTTCCGCTTCTACACTTCGCTCTTTTAATCGCGGTCATGGGGCAAAGAAAGGCCAAACTTTGTGTTTACCACTAAAATGGTCTTCCCACAAATTATAATGTCCAGGAACTCAGGAAGTGAGTCCTGATCTTTTGTTAATGGTGACAACGTAACCCCCCCCTCCTTCCCGCCCCCCCCCCCCCCCTTCAAGGTCGACGAGGTTTGGACAAGTCCCCAAAAATGAGATTTTTGGGAGGACCCCCTGATTGATCTCGAGCCCCTTCGGTCCTCGTGCTTTTGCTTCTGGCCCCTTCTGGGCAGTAGGACTTTAAAAGGGCAACATCAGTTTTTTGGGGCTTTGAGCCCAAAAGGTCCCTGATCAGTCGCGGGGGGTTTTCTGTTAATGAGGGGGCTGGCCTTGAAGGGGGGTCCCCTTTGTGAGCTTGAACACCTTGTCATTTTACACAATTTTAATAAAGATAAAAGCATTTTGGGGGAAGCGCATGTTTGACGAAAACTTGAGGGGTTCAATAATAACTTAGTATTGGTGGGTTATGCATAGATTAAGCAAATACTAAGCAAGAAGGAAAGTCCCTTTTCTGGCAGGTTTTTTTGGCTTGGGGGCTGCAGAGGGATACCTTTAATCGGGGGGGGGGGGAAGTTTTAGGGCCCAAAAGTAATTGGGTAGGGGTTTTTGGGGGAAACCTTGTTGGCCTGGGGGGGGGGAAACGGGGAAACCTTTGTCGGGGGGGTTTACTAATTTACTAATCGTCTCCCGACTTGCCTGCCCAAAGGACCCGAAAACAACGGTTGCGTAACCTTTTGGAACCTTGGCTAATTATAGACCAATTTCGGAAAACCACAAGGTCAAAAGGTCCGTTCGCGTTGGGCAACTGATGTGTTCTCTTCTTCGGCATCTGTCTTGAAACCAATCTAAACCAGTGGAAGCCATCGATTTCTAATCAAACTAACCTAAGAAGATCAAGAAAATGATCCCTGGTACATGGATGAAAAAAACCATCTAAACCAGTGGATGCCATCTATTTTCTCATCAAACTATATCAAACTAACCCAAAAAGGATACCTATGTCCCCTCCCCCCGGCCTCGGCTGTTTAGCAGCGGGCCGCCGCGGTTGCTGCTGGTCATGACGGCATCCGTCTGGATGCAACTCTGGATGGGGTGGTCCTGGAGTCCCCCGTACTTATTAGAAATCCAATTGAATTATACTTAAACTAACACTTAATATTTGGTAGCTACAATTCAAGAGTGAAATCATGGTCTAAATCTCCATAAGCCATATCTTCACGAGTTACAACATGGTCACCCCCAGATGCCCTGGTAAATGGAAACATGGGCCAAAACCTGCGGTCCCCTAGTAGTCTCATTTGACCCATGCTGTTTTGCACATAGCGACCGCAACCCGAGCTGACTGTTGCTGGTCTGCCCCCTCAGAAGGGCGGCCTATCGTAGGACTCGGATTTCTGATTTTGTTTTGAACTATACTATATCAGAAACATGAAATCATGTGGTTATCTTTAGGTTTACATAGGCTATACATCTGACCCCAATTGAAGCAGATGCTAGAACTACCTGTGGCCAATCGGGGTGTTGGCTGCTGCTAAAAACAAAGAGCCACAGTCAAACAATTACGAAGGCTTCCCCCGGGAAATTTAGACAGCTCGTCCCCATGTCCATGTCCCTTCCAAACGGGCCACACACCAACCTCATGGCTGGCAGGTCATTGGGTACACCCCTTGCTCACACAAACCCAGATACAGGTTTCCCCTCGTAAACTAAACAACTACGGGCAATTGATCACCCAATTGAAACCATCCGACCAGGTTTTTCTGTTTGGATCTACCATAGTCAAGCCAGCCTTCGCGGGTTTGTAGCTTCACCAACCGCAAGGCTTCCAAACGAAGCCTCGGTCTGAGCCGTGGCGGCCAGTGACAAAAAAAAAGAAGCTTAAGTTGGGATGAGACAAACCTGGTTCGCAAAGGGTTGGTTGGCTGAAGTTGTTGGGGAAAATGCAGGGGAAATACGGCTGTGCAAGTGGGTTGCCTTAAGTTGTTCGCATAAAGCTGGCTAAAGATCCAAATAGCAAACCTGCCACACTTTGAAATGGCAGCTTTTAAGTGTGGCAGGGATTTTAGACCCTGAGGCCTTCCGACCCGTTTGGTTCTGCGAGGAGAAGGCAAAAGAAACCGTACGGCTTTGTCTCCAAGTGGGCCAGCCTGCAAAAGGTAGAGGTGTGTCTTAGTTACTACGGCTGGTTTTTACCTAAGGGCTGGTTAGACCATCTTAGATCTTGATGAGAGGGCGGACCTTGGGCTGGTCTGGAATTCATTTAGGCTTGGCAAAGGGCTGATGTCCAGGCTGCTACTGGGTGGGTTTGGGTTTCACGTTGAGTTTGCGGATGGCTTGGAGCTTCCTGAGCGCAGCTGCTTTAGCAGTGGCTTTAGTTGTGTTTGTTGTTTTTCCTTGTTTTTTCCGGATTTGGTTTCGTGACTTTTAGCTAGCTTTGGTTGGAGCAAGGCTCCAACACTGGATCGCCCCAAAACTCTGACTTGCCCTTGTCGCGCCTGGAGATAAAAGGTTCACCTTTTCTGACCCTGGACCAAATCGGGGAAACCACAAGGTGAAAGGTTGATTTGCTTTGGTTGCAAGTTCTAGGTCCTCCAGATTTGAGAGCTTAGAACAAGGGTACCCTTTTATCTGTAGCCTATTTGGGTAGGGGAACCCTCTCCCAAAAAAGGGGTGAGAAAGAGCACTACTGGAGGACCTAAAAGTTGGACTTATGGCCCTTGGCTTGGCTCCCCGATTTTCCGCGAGCGCGTAGACGCAGATTTGTGCAACCCGACCCCCGACGCATTTGCCGTATGTAGCTGGCTCCAGTTCCAGTGTCTTTCTGAGATACCGAAATGGGAGTTGAAATCTTATATCTACTCTGTTTCTTTTGAGGGGTCACAAAAGTGGCCCAAAATCCCAAAACCCAATCTCCCACAGCCACTTGAAAAGGTCGGGTTCCCAAGATTACATCTGGGCTGCCCTTGAAACCAATCACGACTATGAGGGATTATGCGCTGGATCAGTTGGGTGACATTTTTTGGGGACTTCCCCCCCCGGAAAAAAAAGGAAAGTAGAAGTCGTTGTCCTTTTGGTGTTCCTTTCAAGCCACGCGGCCAGCCAACCAACCAACCAACCAATCTACCTACCAACCAACCAGGGGACCAGCCCTAGGGAACAAAAAACACCGGATCCTTTCAAGCACCCCCCCTTAACAAAAGATACGTGTTCTCAACAAAAAGAGAGAAAAAAGGCCCGCAGTCCTTCTTGAGCACCAAGGGCTGACCCTGGCCATAGACCACTCCGCGGGACACCCTGGCGATTTCCGACCCCCTCTGGGTCTGTCTTTTTCGAGGGTACCTTCGTTCTTGATTTTGAAGGGAAACCAACAGGAAGTGCCACCATTTGGGGGGGTCCCCTAAAAAACGACACACTCGTTTTTTTAAAGTAGCAAGCCTCGGAATTCAAGGAGTGAGACCTATTTCAGGGTTTCAGCATGCTTTCTTAGGGAGGCATGCCAGGAGGCTGCATGTGAGGCTTTTTCAACCTATCCTTAGGTATATATCAGCTACTGATCGAGATTCTGGGAATCAAGTGAGTCATCAAAACCGATCGGTATGAAAATGGTCTACCCAAAAGCAATGTTGGCTCTTTGCAGGCCGCTACATATGAAGAGACATACAGAAGCGAACCACCAAAACCCATACGAGTCAGAATCAAACCCGGTGGTAGAATGGTCGATCCCCAGAACCATGTAACGAAGCATCTGCACCCATTTGAGGCAGGGGATTGTCCCTTGCTAACCTTCATCCAATCCCCGAAACGGTTTTGAGGACGTGGCTCAAGCGACGGGGCAGAGCATCCAAGATCTAACCATTCCCTCATGGGATTATTCTCTCACGCGAAAGGCCAAGGCCAAAAACATCTGAGACCAGCAAGCAACCAACTCGGTTGCTTTCTGCTCCCCTGCTAAAAGTTTATTTTTGTGGTTTAATGGACAACCCAATAGTTGGCAAAATGTTAAAGTCCTAACATCCAAGCAAAATGCACCAAAGAAACTAAGCTGAAACAAAGTGGACAAATCCCGAATCCCCAACGAAGCCATCTACTTAAACTGCGAGGAACTAGGCGCTTTACCGAGCGGACGGGCGGTTTCCGGAGAGAGACGACGTGTGAAGGGCATTGGGGCCAAATCCTTAGAGAAAAGGAGTCGGCATTTGGTGGAAGCCAATTCAATAGGCGTAGTGTCCAAACGACCAATCTGGTAATCCATACACAGCAAGAAGTGTCCCACAAGTGATCAACAGGTCCTTTGCATGGGATGACTGATGGGGAACACCACTAAAGATGATATTTCCGGTTACCCATGGTGATTTGGCGGCCCTAAATGGAATAGTGATCAAGTCCGAAACAAAGACACCTGAAGATGTGGACGAGTGCTCCTGTCCTGAGTCCGTGGCAAGTCTCTTTCAAAAACTTGGCGGAACCATCAGCGCGAGCTGAAATCGCCTGAATCAAGGACCAAGAGAAGGAAAGAAGGCCAAATGAGCCCAAAAGAGGCTTGAATGGTTGGGGGGTTTAGTTCTCCAACCATTACGAAGCCTTTTAAAAACCTGCAGGATGCACAACGCACCCTGAAACATGCATTGTAAGCATTTTGCACACACGGTTCCTGCCTGCAAAATCCACATGGTGCCGATATAAAACCAACCCAAACCTCCCGTGTCACCTCCCGAAATCTGCCGTTTAACATACCCCCTGAGCGTTTAAGCACCTAAACGATTTATGACTTCACAAGAATGTGTCTTCAAACTGGTCGTTTGCATTCTTCACCCGCAAAATCACCCAAAAGATCCCTAAAAGCCCGTGACTTCACAGAAATGCTTCTTCCAACTTGTTCTTTTGCATTTCTCACCCCCCCCCAAACCCAAAGCCAACCCAAAGCCATCCACGCCTCCCATCCTCCCCGCCCAGCCCCCATCGCCTCATGTCCAGCGTGGCCTCGCGGCCCAGAACCAGCACCTCTCGGAGCCGGGATTCGGAACCCCCTGGTGTCGTTTGGGATTCGGAGGCGCGGTTTTTTTGTTCCCCCGCCCCAAAAAAAAAACACCCCCTCGTGGTTGTTTTGCTTCTTGTTTAATGAGACAACCACCCCCTCAATGTATGTGTTTTTAAAGAAAACCACCCCCTCATTGGTTGTTTGCCCTTGCTTAAAGTAAACCATTTGCAGGGAAAACCGAAATCCGTTTTTTGGGGGGTCCGATTCCCCGAAAAAAAAGAAAAGAAAAAAGGAAAAAACACGTTTCAGCTTCTTACATGGGCCCCAAAAAGAGTGGACCCCTTTTGTGTTTTGTTTTCAATAAGAAAACCACCCCCTCATTGGGTTTGCTTTCCAAGCGAAGCCACGGGGAAAACCGAAATCCATTTTGTGGCTCCGACTCCTGCAAAAGAACACACCCGTTTCAGCTTCCCCCCAAAAGAGGGGGAACCAAGCAAGGATGACACTGAAGGATTGTCTCTTACCCTTCTAAGGGTTGTCAAATCGCCATACGATCAAAATCGGGATATTGTGTGCCAAAATAGGGGGAACCAACAGGAAACCACACGGGGTTTGGATTTGCGGCTTGCTTTGGTGGTTCTTCATTTACCCTCTACAAGAAGGGGGTCAAAACCAAATCCAAACCACCAATCCAAACCACCAACTAAGGGGTACCTAATTTGTTGGGTCAAACCAAATTCGGATGGGGAAACCAACAACACCTTTGGGTAGGCACACCAACAGGAAACCACACATATTTGGGTCAAACCATGTCGGCGGAGAAACAATCAAACTTGGATCTTTAATATAACCGTCGGTATAAGCATGGTAAGTGGGGTAACTGGGACCCCTTAGCCTCTCTCACCATGGTTCTAAAGTTATAACCTGCCCTGTCCATAAACATGGAACCCGACTTTTGGCGCTGCTGAAAAACGAGTTTCCCTTTAAAAGGGACCATTTCTCTGGTGAATCGTCCCTCAAAACGAGGGCAAGACCTTCAGGTCCGCAGTCCGAGGTTCACCTTTTTTTTTCTCTCTCTCTCTCTCTGCTCCGGCTTCGAGTTCGGTGAACGAGCCTAAAAACGGATTCGAGCTCATGGCTGCTTCACCAACTGGAAACGAACAACCGCCGAGAACCCCAAGAGCCAAAACCTCTCCAGCTCGACCTCCCCTCCCGTCCGGCCCGAGGGAGTCCAGCCGACGCGCGCGCGCGCGATCGATCGGTCGCTGCGCCTCTTGGCCCAAGCGCAGGGAGGCGGAGGAGCCCAGCGCCAGAGGCGTCGCCTTCACCCGCGCTGCCGCCTCTGAGCCGGGGCTGGATGGGGTGGGTGGGGGGGTGGGGTGGGGTGGGGTGGGGTGGGGTGGGGTGGGGTGGGTTGGTGGTTTGGTGGGTTGGTGGTTTGGTGGGTTGGTGGAAGGGGAACAACTGGTTCTAACATCTTGCTTGCACACAAAGAAAACGGTTTGGTGGGTTGGGCTGGGTTTGACATGACGATATGGTGTTTTTTTGGGTGTAACCTGATAAAGCTTTGTTCCTATTTGTTGGAGCAGAAAGGGTCAACAAGCTTGCGCTGGGCTGGGCGGGTTAGATTGGGATTGGGTTGGGTTGGTTTCAACCAAGAACCAATAGCTTGGTTTAAGACGAAAGGGTCCACCAATTCTTAGCCGCTACTTGCGCGGGTAGGGCATGTTATTGTCCTAAAAGTCGCGAGAACCCGCACATGGGCGGCTCTCACTTTGGTTTCCCTTTAAACGACCGGGTTTCCTCTATGTGGGTCTGTATACAGGCGAAGCCTTTAGATTGCTGGCTCTATTTTTTACAGCCAAGCTGAAAAGGGTACTGAGCCTCGAACAAGCACACACCCTTTTGTCCTCTCGAGGAAAAAACAAAACAAACATACCAAACGTCGCCTTTGTGAAAGGCGATGTAGGAAACTCTGGCGGAAGCAGCACAAACGTTGCCGGAGTTTACTTTTGATTCATGCAAATAGAAAGGGAACCTCAAACCACTACCCCAAGAGAAATTGGGGTATGTAGTGGCAATATAGTGGCTGTATATCCCCTTCAACCTCTGAAATTGTGGTTTGGGGGTAGTGGACACCATCTTCAATTCATCGTTTTAACCCTGAAAGCGCCGGCTGAAGGGAACAAACAAGACCTGCACATCATCTGAAGTGACACATATCCAAACCCTTCCGGCGGCCTGGTGGCCGGTGCAGGATTTACGGCGTGTCTGTTGACCTCCGGTTTTTTGATCAAGCTGAAACAGGAATTGCAAATGCGCGGTTCTACTAACAGACCGCTTTCGCGGGCGACACAGAAACTGCAAACATGCACTTTCGCGACGCTTGCGCGGCTCTTCTTCAACCCTGCGTTTTAGCTTTCGCGAGGCTTCGTTGGGAGAGGTTCTCAACTAACTCCTTTTATAGGGGTGTGTGGCGCTGCCCAAATGTGGCTAGTTGCTCCACCCCGGTATGTCTGCAGTTCACCTGGGCAAGGTGAGAAGGTACATGCCCCCAATGCCAGGGCACAAAGTCGCCAACTGAAAACCATGCTCTCAATGCGGAGGCTTGGGAACCGGGGCCAAAATTCGAATCCGACCTCGGATTGCTCGCTTTCGCCCGCGTTCACCATCCACATCGAATCCCCAAACCACTCATCCAAACCACCAACTAAAAAAATGGTTGAACACTTAGAGGTTATTCTGCAGACTCAGTCCCCCCACTAAAAGTATCCCCCCCCAAAAAAAAAACTATACCCTGAACGGAAACAATGGTTACCAAACCAACAGGGTTCCACCCACCCAAAAGAACAAAAGAAAGGAAACCAAAAGGGTCCCACCCCCTCGCCCCAAAACGAATCGTGAGTATTCTTGAGTGGTACCCCCCAAAATGACTTCGGGTCCTTTTGGTTTCCCTTCAAAACCAAGCAAACAAGGGCTACCCCCACCAAAAAACGCACCCAAATAAAGTCAGACCCCCCCCCCCTCCCAAAAAAAGAAGAACAAACAAACAACCAAAAAAACAAGCCGAAAACGGGAAAAACAAAACAAAAGGAGAAGAAACAAAACAAGAAAACGAGCCCCGCCGCGCGCCTTAGGCGTCAGCTCGAGCACGGCGAGGTCCGAGCCCTCGTCCACCCCCAGCACCCGCAAGGGCAGCTCCGAGCGGTCCGGCAGCAGCAGTCGCAGGGAGCCGCGCCGCGCCAGGTCGATGTTGCTGAGACCTCAGGTAGAATATGGAGGTCCCAAGAAGCGGAGGTTCCTCTGAAAATTGTGGGCTGTTTGGGGTTCCACGTGAATTTCTATCAGGGCGATGCTTGTTTTCGAGCTTCCTCGCAAAAACAAAAAACATGGGTTTGTTTGGGGGTTCCGCGTGGATTTCTATCAGGGTGATGGTCCCAAAAACTGGGAGCTTCCTCCAAAACATATTGGGCTTTCTAGGAGGGTGATGAACCACGCGGCTTTTTGGGTTCCATGTTCATTTCTAGGAGGGTGATGAATACTGGGCTGTTGGGGTTCCATGATAATTTCTAGGAGGGTGAGATTAGATGCTTGTTGTTGTCTTTGATTTTTTTTTTTAAACCCCCCCTCCATTTTTAAGGAGCTGTTCCTGTTGGTGTCTGTGCTAAACCACCAACAAAAAATTGGGCACCCTCAATAAAGACATCTGCATTACAGTACTATTTCCCTTGAGACCCTAGGGAACTCGATCCGCCCGAAATAGTCCAAGATAGTTGCAGCTTCTTCGGTGGGAGACGGAAGGGTTCCAAACATATTTCTCACTTGCAATACCCAAAGGACACTCACTTTAAACTTGCAAAAGGGTATGTCCACCAGTATCAAAGTCACCCAAGCGGTATGTTAAAGGGAAACCACCCCCCTTGACTTTTGATAACCCCCGGACAAGTGGTGGAAAATCTCTGATGGCCCCCAAAAGTCAAAAAAAGGCTTTCTGGGACACCAAAGGAAAAAACATGTGTTCGTTTTGGGTTGGCACGGTTTCGACTTTTCACTGATCTATAGTTGGAGCCTTCGACCTGCGGCCGGCCGGCCGCGCAACACATGTCTCGTTTTTCTGTCACAAAGCCTCACTTCGGCTTTTGAGTTGGCGCCTTGGAAACCTGAATCCTGAAATTCTGAAACCATACAAAACATCTTACATGTTTTTGCTTGCACCAACCTTCGTATCGATCTGGGAACGATCTGAAATTGGTGGGAGCACCTTTGAAGCCCACGCGGTCGGAATTGATTTTTTGTCGAACCCACAAAAAGCGCGTCCAAACCGTTGTCTAGAACCAGGCCCTGATCCTTGCCTTCAATCTATCCCCGTGAACATACGATGCGAACTCGGAACTTGCCGGTTGAGCTGCTGAGCTGATTGCTCAGAAAAGCTCAACTTATTGGAGCTTTACTACAAGCAAATTGATGCGAACACATCTACCAACACAAAGCTTGAAGCGTGGTCACTCGAAACGTAAGTAAACAAGGTGGCCAAGCAAGACTGTTGCCTCACCTATCCACTGCAACTCTGTCCTCTTGCAACAATCCATGGTTCTAAGAGGGGCTGTGGAAATGACCATTTCCGTGATACAACAGAAAGGGCTTCCCAAATACAGACTAACCCCATAAACATGGGGATACTCCCTGACTGTCCTCAGATCCCCGGCTAAAAGTGTAACTTTTGGCAAGGACTCTTCATCAGGTTCCAAACCGAATCACTCAGCTTCCTCTCTCATTGGGGGTTTGGAGCCCGGTGATTTCGTTTCTAAGGGTTTTCCATTTACCCGCTACACTCCAAAACCACCAATCCGAACCACCAACTAAGGCGTGCCTAAAGTCCCCCTAGGCCCTGTCGCCATTTACACCCAAGCACGGCCAGAAGGGACGCATGTGCTCCGAAACCAGCTCCGGTTGATCTCAACATCTGCGTGAAGATCCTTCCGATTGCCTTCATCTACCCGGGTTTTGATTCTGGCGCAAATGGACTGACCTAAAAAAAATCCGCGCATCTATGGTGAAAGCTCTCTCTCCAGGACTTCCCAGGGCCAAGGGCCTTGAAATCGGACCCACGAAGCGGAGTCTCTCGGCCCTTCGTTGTCTCTTGCAACCAAAGCTATGAATCGGTCCAATCAACCGGTGTCCTTTTTGGGCGCCGGAGTTTTCGATTTCTCGGTTTTGCGTTTGCCTTCCAAGCCAACCCCAAGCAGGGTACCCTTAGAAAAAAAAACGCACCTGTTTGGTTTCTCTATCCAACCTGAAAAGGGTACTGAGCCTCAACAAAAAAATAACGATGACACGCCCTAGCAGTTGCTGGGTAATGTTGACCCCGGATTAATAAACCCAGATTATTAATATGGGGGTGTTCCCCTCCAAAAGTGATAAATCCTCACTAAAACCAGGGACACCCCCCATATTTATCAACCAGGGGTTTATTAATCTGGGGTCAACATTCTTTGGCGAACTTCTAGAAATTCCTTTCATCTTGGTTGACGTTGGAAGGGGAGCCAAAAATAAAATTTTAGCAGTTACGTGGATTTGGATTTCTACCACTAAACCACAACAAGCAAAAATGCAAAATGTGTCCCAACAACAACCATGTTCTTCCATTTGGTTAAGACCCCTGGAAAAATATATAATTTCTAGTAGTGATAAACTCCTTTTAAAACCAACAAGGGAAAATCATAATAATAAAAAAGCAAATGGAAGTGTTATGGCCTTCTTCGAGTTGTCTTGCGTCCACGTCCGAGATGCTGGTCACAACGTGGGTGTCATCGAACAGCCAACAGGTGCCCCCGGGGACGAAGGCGCCCTGGCTCTCCTGCACGAAGCTGAGAGGGAAAACTTGGTGCTGTGGATCGACGAAATCCATTTCGCACCACGTTGAAGCCATGGGAAATCATCGTTGGTATTTACAAGAGCATTCCAGGGTTTCTTAGATGGTGCAGGGTTTCGTCCATCCACACTGCGGATGGTTGCGAACTCCATTTCGCATCACCTGAGAAACCCAATGGAATGATTCGACTCCCCAACGTAAATACCAAGAAACAGTGGTTTCAACCATGGTCAAGTGGTGCAGGATTTCGTCCATCCACAGCACGATAGGAAGGAAATCGCTTGAGGGGTGTTTTTTGAGTGAACCGGAAGGGGATCCCCTCATAAACCAAGGCTTATAGGCTTTTGTGGGGGGGCATTCCCTCATTCCCTGCTGCTTTCTGGTGCGAGCGGGAAGCCTTTGAGGGGGACAATTCACCGGATCCCCATTTTGGAAACCAGATACGATGGTTTGTGGGTTGTTGCTTTAATCGCCTGAAACATGTTGACACATTCTTCTCTTATGACTCTTATCATAACATATCCTGACTAAATCTGATTCAAAAGTACCACCCAACCATTTCATATCATGACTAAACTTGATTAAACGTTAGCCCGTGAACACCGATCATTCTCCGAACAAGGAAGCATGAAAGGCCCAATGTGGCTTGGTGCTCGGGAACCAAGCCAAAGTGGTAGGGGTCGTCTGTGCAGAGATGGGTGCTTCCCAACATAGGAGTCGGTCCCCTAGAATGGCACGGGTTTCCCGGTTGGACTCCCTTCAAATACACAAACTGCTGGTTTTTGTCATTGTTTCCATATACCAAGGTGACATTTTGTGTACCATCTGTTGAGCCACGCGCATGTTGGAAGGGCTGGAGCCCGTGATTGCTATCTCGGCAGACTTTTCACTGCTTGCTGCAGTGCTTCAGGTAAGCTGCGCGGAGCTCATCCTCATCTGGAAGACTGCTCAAGGCCGTAGACTTCCATTCGCTTAAGCCCCCTGGAGAAAAAAACAAAACAGTAGTGATAGATTCCCTTTAAAACCAAGCGGGAAAAAACAAAAATATTCTTAAGCAATTAGACGTGGACGTACTCAGGAAAGAATATATGTGTCCAGGGTTGAAGAGCCTCTCAGCTGGTTCCAGCCGAAGAACTGGTATTCAAGGAGTCTACCCAGCATGCAAGTACAGAAGCAACATGAGTCTGGCACTGCGAAAGCGACCCTACTTGGATCCAACCACTTTTGGGGTTCATATTGATTCGCAGGAGGAGGTGCCGTTCATTTCCCTTGTTGGACTTTGGTTACTTTCTGAGAGACTCAAACAAAAATATGTGAAAAGAGGGTGGCCCAAATTCCACCCCTTTAAATAGCGACCAACTTGAGTTTAAGATCACCATTGGCAAAGGCCGACCCAAAGTGAGCTTGGCGGTGATGTCTAGGGCTTGAATTCTTACACGAATACTCGGTTGCTTTCCGCTCCCCGGCTAAAAGTTTAGCTTTTAGTAGATTCATGGAAAACCCATTAGTTGGCAAACAGTTAGAGTCCTGACATCCCTTGGCAAAAATGCACCAAAGACTAGATGAATGAAACGATAAACTACGGATGATGAAAATTTGGGGCGTGTGAGGCTCGCTCTGAGGGGGGGAAAACGGCCTCGGCCCCCTCGCCGGATCGATCCGCTTCGATCCGCCGCCTTCTCGGAGAGCCAGGGTGCCGGCTGGCCGCGCACGTAGAAGACACCCTGCGGGGTTTTCCGGCGAGGGTTTTGCCGGCGGATGCGAGCGAGGCCACTCCGGCTGGGCTGCTGCAAAGTTTTTGCTTCACTTTTTGGGGGGGTTGTGGAAAACCCAACTTGATTTCAACCAAAAGGTTGAAGTCCAAAGATCCAACCAAAAGTAGCAGTCAAGGAGGCGGATGCGATCGCGCGATTTGGTCAGAGGGGCTGACAGGCAGTTGGCGGGGGGATGTTTGTCTCAATATGCATTTTGGGTTGTCTCATTGCTTTTTATACTTTTGGATAGTACCGTCCTGGGTTCCAAACTTCAAGCCAATTACTAGCTTTCCCTCTTCAGGTTGCTTTGATTTAGGATATTTTTCAAGTCCTTTTCGGAGAAGGGATCGGGATCCGATCCATTGTTTCCCTTTTGGACCACCAGGTCAATGTGCAGATCGAAGAAACAAAAGCATCGAGGGGTCGGTCAGCTATTTATGGCAAGGGGAGTGTCCCTGACTAACCTTCTACGCGGGTGTGGAGGAAGTGGCTCGGGTTTGCAGCTCTCGTTTTTCCACCGGGAGTTTATCGCGTCCAGAAACAACCATGAGTTTTGATTGATTGATTTGTGTGGCTTTGGCAAATAAAACAAAAAACAACATTTCAGCCAATGGCAGGTGTCATGTGTGGATTTCCCGGAAGCTTCTCTCCAGGGGTGCCAAAGTACATACCGCTCTTACACACCCCTTGGGCAAATGAACCCAAAAGCCCTGCGGATGTTCATACCCCCCTCCCCAAAACGGGTATCTTCCCCTTATCAAGTGGCTTGGAAACCGAGGAAGCAAAGGAACCGGTCACAAGGGCTATGTACTTCCACCCTCCCATAGGAACCAACTCTCCCCTTGCCCTAGATCCCCAGATCCCCGAATTGTGCCACCCATCCAGTCCGGCGGCTCCGAATCGTGCTTCTTTTCCCGCAGTCCTTTGTGGCCTTTCCCATAAAACATATTCATTTCAGCCAAGGGCAGGTTCAATGTGTAGATTCTCCCGGAGGTTCTCCTTGCTTCCGTTTGCTTGTTCGCCCCCTGGAGAAAAGAAAATAGGTCCAGTAGTGAAATCGATTCCCTTTAAAACCAAGTGGAAAAAAAAGAGAAAAAGTCCAAACTTTTTGTTTACCACCAAAATGGTCTTCCCAACAAGTATAAAGTCCATGAACTCAGGAAGTGAGTTAAATCCAAGTGGGAAAAAAAGGAAAAAAACACTTCAGCGATTAGAAGCTTGCAGTCCCCCGGTCCCCACGCGCCGAAAGCCGACTTCCGCCTTGGAGGTCTCCTGCAGCACCTGCAGCCGCGCCTCCTCCTCCGGCAGCAGCTGCAGCAGCGGCGCCTCAAGGCCCGGGGGGCCCTGCCCCCCCGCGGCCCGCGCCTCTTAGCCGATGCCCTCCCCCAAAAAGGTTGCAAGCCAAAGCTAGGAAATTATATACCCCATGTCTTTGATTTCAACTTGGCTTTTACTTGGTTGACGTTGGAAGGGGGGCAAAAAAAACAAATTTCAGAAGATAAGTGGATTTGGATTTCAACCACGAAACCGTAATGAGCAAAAAAATGAAAATGCTTCCCAACAATAACCATGCAATGAGTGAGGGCAGAAGGGAAACCATGTAAAGGCTTCAAAAGACGGCCACACCCATTTGTGGCTGGGATTGTCCCTTAACCTTCATCAATCCCAAAATCGGTTTTGAGCAAGTGAGTCAGCTAAAACCTCCACATTTGAGAGGTTAGAAAAAGGGTACCCTTCCCCTTTTTCTGTGGTCTATGTTAGTAGGGGAACCCTCTCATTAAAAAAATAAAATAAAACAGGTAAAAGGGCACTACTGGGGGACCTAGGAAAGGACAACTTGTGCCTGTTCTTGGCTGTTCTTGGTATGATTTGGGTGTGTTGGTCTTTCTTTGAGGGTACCCCGTTTTTGGTAGGTTTTAAAAATTCATCAAAGGAACCACCACCATAGACAAACCCAATCAGCTTGGTTTTAGTTGCGTTGAATCGGTGGCCTGGAGGTGTGGAGGTTACCCATCTGCCCAGAAGCTAAAGCTTCACATCCAAATCCAAGCCACCCATCGTCAACCACCAACTAAGGGGCCTTCTAATGGTTTGGACCTGCAGATTTCCACGGGCAACACCAGACTCTAGGCCTAGCCCCCCATTTTTTGGTCGCTGATTGTTAGAAAGAGTGTTGCCGAGATTTGTTAATGAAAAATAAGAACAACAAACTAAAAGCGAAACTCGAAAAACACCAACAGCAACCCAGCCCAAGAAAATCCGTCTTGTCCACCCAAGCCCCCCGAAGAAAGCCTGCAGGGCCCGCTCCGCGCCCACTTGGAGCGCGGGGTGTGTGCGGGGTAAACGGCAGGTGGCCACCAGCAGAAGCAGCGCCAGCACCAGCGTCAGCACCTGCTGCCGTTGTGTCTTGGTTGAGGTTGGAAGGGGAGCGAAAATTTAACTTTTAGCTGTTAAGTTGGGATTTCCCACTAAACCACAATAAGCAACATGTAAAATGTTTCCCAACAACAACCATGGTGTTGGGGTCCAAAAACGCCCAGCTGGATCGCCAAGTTGCGATCGCTTTTGTCCAGACACTTTACCCTAAAACCAGCCACAGTTGCTGGTGGAAAAAGGCAGCCACTGGCGTTTCTTTCCCAGGCAGGAAACCATTCCACCCAGTTTGCCGGGCTCTCCTTGGATCTGATCCCCGGCGAGAAGTGAGTTTTGACCTGTGGGTTAAAGAGGGAAGCCCAACGAAAAACCTAAGTGGAACAACCAAAAAACCAGAAAAAACAACAATAACAACAACAACTTAGAGGGTCTTTAGCCCAACCACGAAACCAAAAACAGCAACAACTAAAAACCTAAGTTCAACCCGACAGACGGGAAACCCACCCAGCTTGGAGGTTCCCCAATGTTGCCACGGGCGATTGGTCGGTGTGAGCAAAAGGGAAGTCGCTCGTTGCAGTCCTACGGCAAAGAGGCAAAGTCATCGTGCGTGAGTTGTTGCTTCTTTTCGTAGAAGTGATTCCAACCTCTCCATTGTGGCCGAACCAGCGGTAAAGTGTTCAACCCCCAGAAAAGCTGAATTTTGAGAGAAGCTGGGCATGGCTCCAAGCCTCAACCAACGGCCGTATCATGTCTACCAGGATCCAAGTCAGCTGGAACTTGTGTTTTACTTTCTCGCTCAGCTATCCTTTTTCGGGACCCTGAAGCTTGCTGGTTCTCAGCAGGGAATGAGGGACTGACCCCAAAATCAACCATCCCCTCTGGTTTCCTTTAAGGGAATCCTTTTCGGGTCCCAGACTCATCGTCATTCCCTACCTATCGCGCCAGCAGGGAAGGGCAACGCCCGCCTGCTGCGGCAAAGAGACCCTCTTCCAGGCCGTCCTCAACGAGCTGCCCGCCATCCGCAGCCTCCTTCACGAAGGACGCATCCCGTGTCACGCGGGCGAGAGACAAAGTGAGGTGGGTGTATGGGTGTGTCTTGAATCACTGGCTGAGTGGATGGCCCAAAGAAAGTCCAAACTTTTACATGTACGACTAAAATGGTCTTCCCAAAAAGTTTAAAGTTATGAACTCAGCAAGTGGGGATCCCGCCATGAACGGCAGCCACTCGGGGCATCAATAGGTCAACCAAAAGAAACCCCAGATCTATCCGTATCCTTAGGCTCGCTTCGCAACCCTATGATTGCAGGTGCTCAGCTGGTCAATGCCCGTGCTTTTTGCATGGCAAAACAAGGTTCTGGCCTTGTTATCCTCAAGGAAGAAGCGCGGTCCTGAGGTGGGTTTATGTTGTGTTCGGCGCGCTGCGTGCCGCAAACACTGCAACACTGCCGCGAAACATGGGTTTGCCCCCCACTGATCATGTGTAGCCCCCAAAACTGGCTACATGTGTGCTTATCCAGCTAGCCACTTATGTGCATGCACAAACGCACATCTGCAGAGTCTACACAGACACAGCCCGCCACAAATGATGGCATCACAAAAATGATCAATCCTAACCACCCGGAAAGAAAGACAACAAGCTCAAACCAGGAGCAATGTCCATTTTGACACATACCCATATCAGGGTGTACTTCTTTAGGTGCCCTTTTCGAGATTGGTTTGAAGGGAAATCACAAGGACACCACCTGAGTCGCAATCAAAACCCGGTATTAAAATGGTCTACCCAGAACCATGTAAAGAATTGAGAAGGCGGCGGCAGCTATTAGAACCATGTAAGGAATTTAGAAGGCGGCCGCAGCTATTTCTGGTTGGGATCGCCTCTTACTAACCTTCATTTACCCGTGTGTTGATTGTGACTCACCTGTTTATCACATACCAAGTTCCTGTTACTTGCTGTTGGCGACACGCTTAGACCCCGCAGAGCGAGCAGGTTTTAGGGCTCACTCCTTGGCCCACCTGGACAGAACTTAGTAAGCTCAGAGTCTGCTTCATAGTTAGTCCATGATACATAAAATCGTTTTGGAAGAGACCCCAGTTTGGGCTAAAAACAACTATGTCTCATCACAAAGATCCCAGAATTGCTCCACCCACAAACCGACACTCACCCATAACCAATCGAAAGTAGCGAAAAAGATTTACATTATAGATTGACAACGTTGTGTGATGGAAGCGTGCCGTCGCAGCCATGACCACGTTGCTAGAGTCTAGGAATGAATGTTTAGCTTGACTTTGTTGTGGCAATGTGCAAGTGTGACAAGAGATCTGGTGGTACTCGTGCTTCTTACACACAATAACCACGTTCTTCTTTACTAGAACAGCACTTTTTTCAAAAGAAACAAACCGGGCATTTGGGCATTTGGTGATCGAAAGCTACATCACGCTGCTCCCCCCCAAAAAAACGCTGGTGTTCCCTTTTTTGGGGGGTCCCCCTGAGATAGAAAGCCATTTTCGGATGGTTTGCAAGAAAAGAAAGGGAACGAACCAAGCGTTTGTATCAGTTGGCCGCAAGCCAACTGTTTACTCCAGGGTCCTTCGAATGATCATGTTTGACTGCCCAAGGGTCGCCGAAGGAGACGGAGCCACAAAAATCCGGACCTCGACTTCCAGCCGACCGCTCGAGGCCCGCGCCTTGGCCCTTCGAGGCGCTGGAGCCGTCGCTTCGCCTCCGCCCAGAGGTCCTTGGACTTGGCGCGAGCCCTCCGTAGGGCCTGGTGAGATCGGCGCAGGGCTCGGGGCCATACCAATTCCAACTTTGGTTGCTTAGTTTGGTTGGCTGGTTAGATGGTTGGTTAATTTAATTGCTTGGTTAGCTAGCAGGTTGGACGGTTGGTGGCGTGGGTTGGTTGGTTGGCGTGCCCCCAATGGGTTGGTCTCAAAAAAATGGTTTTATTTGTCCTTTGCCTCCGGGCGAATCCTTCCATGGCCGCGCATCAAGAGTCACCACGCGCTTTTTAACTTATGAGGCTTCAACCCAAATGGCAGTTGGTCCCAATTTAGATGAAAATCCTTAGGTAAATCATGGATACTAACCGCATTGGTTAACTCGCTTCCAGAGTGGATCAGAACTTATGTATACCACTAACATGGTCTTCCCCAAAAGTGACCAAAGTCCAGTAACTCAGGAAGTGTGCCGTGTTTCGAGATTGGTGGGCGCTTCTACTGGTGGTTGGTAGTTGTGACATGGAACCATCCCATGACAATCCCAAAACCATCCTGGAAAGAATCTGCAACATCTCATTTTGAAAAGCCACTGTGTGGAGTCCATGTGCAGGATCTTTCTATGGATTTCGGCGTTGGTGCTGAGCCTCAAACAGCTCCCACTCATACTAACATGGAACCAAACAGGTCGTTGTTCCTAGAGAAACTTTCTTTGGGAAATTGGCGCCGTTCCGGGTTCCATGTCAATGTGTACTTGTATCTTTGCGAGAGAGTATCTTTGGGGCTGAGCCTCATATGGCTGTGGGTCAAACATATGTACTCAAAGTGGAACCGGGGTTAATGGAAACAAGGACTAAAACCTGCGGTCCCTGTTTAACCCTACTCATATTGCGTAAGGGCATCAAGAAAACCGCCCCATGTTCTACCTTAGGACCTCCTTCACTGGCACAGAGCCAGTCTGAGGCTAAATACTTAGAATGGGGCTTGGAGGACCACAAAATCAAATTAAGCCATGAAACCAGGGTGTCTATTTGCTTGATTGAATCAAGGTAATTCCTAGCATTGCTGTCGGTTCAAACTAGTGCTAGTAACTATTAGACTATGCTTGTATCACCTCGATCCAATCAAACAAATAGAAACCCAAGTGGAACATGTGTCCGTGATAGAGCGGTTCATTGCCAATGGCCTCACCAAAGTGGCAGCCGAATGTTGGGTTGCATGGGGGTCTTGTGTGTTTGTGTGGCATTTGCGCTATTTGACTAACCCAACAAACACCCTCCCGAAACCCCTCCCAACCCCATGCTCAGCAAAAAGAGCGGCAAATGCAAAAAAGACTCCCAACACGTCAAACACCCCAAACACACCAAACCCACACCCGCAAAACCTCCCCATCCCCCGAAACCCTCCCCTGCCCCCCACCCCACCCGAACCCCTCCCCCAACCCCTCCCCCACCCACCACCCCAACCCACACCCCACCCCCCCCGGCCTTCCCGGCCCGGCCGCGGCCCTCCGCTTGCGCGCCCCGCAGCTTCCGCCACCACCGCGCCGCGCGGCGCCTGAGCCTCTCGGAGCCGAGGTCGTCAGCCGAGGTGTCCTGAGCACGACGCGCGCGTCGACCCGTCGACCGGTCGACCGGTGCCGGTGGCGCGAAATTTTGGGGGGCGGGAACCTTGCAAGTGAACCACCCTGGAAGGTTCCCCCCATTTCAACCGCCTATATCTGGAAGGTGGTTGTTTTACTATTTTTAGTTGAGAAACCCATATGAATGTTGGTTTTTGAAGGAAATCACCCTCTCTGAAAGTCTCCCCCATTTTAACCACCTTTACCTGAATGCACCCTACCTAGAAGGTTCCCTCTATTTTCAGAGAAACCCATGTGTGGTGCATATGTGTGTGTGTCTCCTTTTTTGGGGTACCTCAGCAAGGGACATGCCCCCTTTTGGTCTTAAAGGGAACCTTAAATTAAACGGAAACCACCCTACCTGGAAGGTGCTTGTTCTACTATTTTTGGAGAACCCCATATGAATGTTGTTGTTTTTTTGTTTTGTGGGCTCCCCCCGTTGGTTGGTTTGAAAGGGAAACCAAAAGGAAAAGGCAGCAGGTTGCCTAGTCCAATTCCTAAATCAAGACACACCCAAGATTACCTTTACGTTAGACGCTTAACGTGTTGTTTCCGCTTAATATTCCCCAAAGGCTGAACGGTGTGTTTGGCCCAACAGGCTGGCGAGATGTTCTTTTAGGACAGGGTTCTGCCCGGTTTGTTGGAGAATCGACTCACCTTTGTAGTGCATTGATGGGTTGAGCAGCTCTTCTAAATTCGGGGGGCAGTCTGACTTCAGTACTCCAACTGAACATGCTCGTGCACCCTTTCGCCTAAACACCCCAACCTCCTCTTAAAAGGGCATAGGTTCAGCTCCGAAGGGACATTGATGAATCCAAGAGTGAAGAAGCTCCACTGTTGAGTCTGTTGAGTCAAGTATTCCAACCAACGTTGAAACGCCACAAAAATACGGTTCTAGCAGAGGTCACACACAACTGGCTTGAGGAAAAAGTGTTATATTCCCTTGAAAGGACCAAAAGGCTGCTGCCAATGTGGGAGGGAAGGGTATCTGTGCTTAAACGATCTCAGCTTTGCCCCCAACCAAATCATCAGCTTGATTCGGCCCATGTTGGTGAACCAATGGAAATTCATGGTGTGGATCACCAAGCGCAAGCGGTGGTCTAGTTTAGGGTTTCGTCCGCAACTGGAGCGAAATGGATTTTGCCCATCAGTATTAAAAGATATCAAGGGAAACCAACGTTTGATCGACACACTTTGGACTTAGCCGGCTAGCCTCCTGAACAGAAAGGGAACCCGGAAACCTGTCAAATGTTTTTGTTTTTTGTCTGGGGGGGGGGGGCGTGGGGTCGTGTCGGTGGTCCGACATTTTGGTGAAATGCATCCGACAAGCTCTGGACAACGTTCAGCCCCTAAACCTAAGACCTGTAGCACCATGGAAACCATCCCCGATTTGGCTTCCTTTATTCTGGAATCCCCAGGTTCATTCCCAAAACCCTGAAGGTCATTCACTCCTGAGCACCATTTGAGTAAAGAGCCAGAATGGGACCATGTCAAACATTGCCTCGGCCTTGCCACTACAAAGTCATGGCACCATGTCCAATGGAAGCCAAAAGGCGTTTGGCCTTTGTCTTGGTCAACCTTTTCCCTCGCAAACAGGGCGTTTGTGGGAGGGTCCCTGGAAGATCGGGCTGTCCTGGCCACAAAACCACCTACCATCAGGAAAATGTGGATTCCACTTGACGGAATTCTTCTGTGAACCCCACAAAAAAAAAACAGCCCCAAAAAACCAGCCCCAAAAAACCAGATCCAAAAAACCAGCCCCGAGTTGTTTGTCAAACCCCAAAAACCATCCCCGACACATCGGCCCAGCCGCCGGCTCCACATTTGCCGGGCTCGCGGTGGCTCCTGGGGCCACCGCCCGCCGCGGCAGCGAGGAGCCGCGGCGGAAGCCGCGGCTTGCGCCGAGGCAGAGGCCCAGACTGAGGCTGAGGTTGAGCTCCTGGTGGAGAAAAAAAACGGCGGGCGTCCCGTCCCACCTTAAACCGGTTTGCAAAGGCAAAATGAGGAAGGTCTGTTTTAGAGTCTGATGGGGAAGCAGGAAAGCTGTGGAGAGTCCTATGATAGAACTTGCTGAGCTTTGCGCATGGGGCATTCTGTTGCGTTTGGTGGCTGAATCCATGGGGGTATCCCTCTGATCAAAATCAGGCGAGGAGTCCGGCTTGAAATTATTCCTGGCCTTGGGCCTGCACCAGGTTGCCGCTTGTCCCAAGATTGTCCGCCATGTCTTCAGGTTTTCCCCCAAGCACCGGGTGTTATTCTGAGGGTTGTTCTTTTCCGCCTTTCATTGCCCTACGAAATTACCCGACTATTCTATATATGCCAGGTTCTAAGGGTAGACCATAGAATACCTGGGATTGCTTGAGGAGGCAAGCTTATTGCTCAGAAACTGGCTAGCACTTGCAGACTTGCAAGTGGTAGGACCTGTCCACTTACTAAGTGGGGGCCTCTGTTTTTCGGGCACCCCAAAAAATGAGGCCCAACCAGCCAAAAGCCCCAAAAAACAACAACACCCAAGTCGTTTTCTTTTCTTTTCCGGAACCGAGGAGCCTCCGGCCGCGCTCGGAACGCGCTTCGCCGGAGCGCCACTCCGCCCGAGGGCGCCGAGGCTGTGGCTCCCGTCAACGGCGCTCCCAGCGCCGGTGGCCATGGCGGAGCCAGGGCCATGGCGTGGCCATGAGCCCAGGGCTGCAGAGAACTGTAAACTAAAACCACCACCAATAGAAGCTACAACCAGCCCAAGGCCTGTGGATGGTTGGGAAATCCTCAGAAGGCCTGGCATGCTGATTCTGTGAAAACCCACAAGCGTGTTTCAACCATGGTTTCAAATGGTGCAGGAGTTTGTCCACCCACAGTGGTGACACTGGCTGGAACCCCAAATATCAGAGGGCAGAAATGGGAGACGGGAGGGGGAGGTTGTCTTGTCGGGTTTCAACGTGGAGGTTGTCTTTTGCGTCCGGCATTCAACCAAACATTTGGTCATTTGTTTGAGATAATCAAAATGTACAGGGTGCCCCATAATCCCCCATTGACCAACGGACGCACCATCTAAAATAGCCCCCAAAAGCTGAAAGAAAGTGGACGCCTAGGGAACTAAAGTGCCGCAGGATTTTTCTCTTGCTGCGTGCCAAACAAGGAGCTTGCCCCGCACGCAAGCAAGCAAGCACAACTTAAAAACACTCAAGGGCGGGGATTCCCTTTGTGGCGGCGTCTCACTACGAATTACGGATCCCCCCGATTTGGAACAAGCGAGAACCTTGAATCACATCTGCAAGCAGAAGGATCTTGACTAGGTCCTCCAGTAGAGACGTTAGAAACACTGAGGGCAGCTTGCCCCACCAAACAAACGCAAAAGCGGGCCGAAGCCCATGGGGGGGCTTAGCGCTGCCCATCCTTAGCAGAAAGGGCTGCGAGGCCCTGCAATCATAAAGAACTGAAAACGCCGCTCAACCACAAACGTCCATGGCCAGACCTCCACAAGGAAGGCTGCTATCATGAAGGTGATGAGCCACTCTGGAACTACCTGCTGACGAAAACACACCAGAGGAGGCACTGCACTGAAGGCTGAACCGCTGAACAGAAGGGCTCCACGATGAATTCCGCGATGAATCTGCGCGACCACGCGCCACCCCGGGCAGGTTGTTGCGGAGCTCAAAGGCCAGGGAATGAGCACCACAAAGTCTTGACCCCCGCCGAAGGCAACCCAAGGGACTCTAGGTGTTAGCACCCGGCACGTGGGGCAGAAAAAAAACCACCAAGTAGTGAAGGGAGGCAACGTCGGAAGGGACTCGGAAGGGTTTTAGCACCCGGCACCGTGGGGCAGAAAAAAAACCCACCAAGTAGAGGGAGAGCGCCGAAGAACAGGGACCATCCCCACAGGGATGGGAGCATGCAGCGGCGCCCATCCAAAGCCATCCATGCGCCAGAGCCAAAGTGAAGCAGCCCAGGGCCTGAAGAACAACGAGGTCACCCAAGAGCAAGGCGCGACAGACGGGGGCACGGGAGCACGGCCCAAGGCCACCACACCGCACAAAGCCAAGGCAAGCCAACAGGACCATGACAGCACTGGAGGGGGGCGCAAGGACAGACGAGGCCGGCAGGGATGGGTACCCGTCTTGACGCCAGACGCCCATGGAAAAGTCGCCAGACGCCCAGGTTGCCCGAAGACCTAAGCTACAATGACCTGAGAGTACGAGGGCACTTTTTTCTGTAGTCTATTTCAGTAGGGAAGCCTCCCCCAAAAAAGTTGGTGCAAGGGCACTGCTGGGGGGCCTGGTTGAACAACCAAAGTTTGAAAGGAACGCGTATCCTTAACTCACCATGTGCAGCCGCCCCCATCCCATTTTTAATGAACCAATTCTCGCCAGAGTCTCAGCCAAGGTGAGAGGGGTTAGCCAATCCCCACAGCTGGGGGTTCACTCCGGAATGACTAGGGACCAGCGCAGGTCCTCCAGTTAAACAAAGTAAGGGTACCAAGTTGTTTTTCCTTTTTATTTTTTCTGTAGTCTATTTTAGTAGGGGTTTGCAAAAGCGACCTGCTACACCTGCAATTAAATGGATGTTTGCCAAAAAACAGTTCCATCGAGAAAGTGCCGTGTGTGACTGTGGGTCATGAACCAGTATCATGCAGTTCACGAGTAAGGGCAATCTATGCCAAGAGACTGAAACATCTATCATAACAAACCCATTCTATTAGCAGGTGGCTTCAAACGTGATGACTCCACACTAAACCCTGGGACGCCATAGTATTAGACTGGGGTTGAGTACTTGGTTGCTGTTGACCCTCCTGCAAAAAGTTCTCAGCTTTTAGTGGAGTTTCGTAAAAAGCCCCTTGATTTCAACCAAAAAGTTAAAGTCTAAAAATCCAACCAAAAGCAGCAGTCAAGCCAAAGGCTCCCTCTTTTCAAGCAAATTCGGATCATTAGCCCCAGGTTCTTAGGTGGTGCAGGAATTCGTCCTTCCACAGTAGTATTAAAAGGGGGGTTGAGTGGTCCGGGGTTCCCTCTCGCTCATCGCGCGCGTCTCGCATCGTCTCGCTCATCGGCCCATTCGCTGGTCCACCGCTCGCTTGAGGCACTGCAAAGCCGCCAGGAGCCGCTGCCTCTCGGAGACCGGCAGTCGGCAAATAGAAATATGTTGCATATATTTGGGAGCAGTTTTGAGTATATTATTCTTTAATTGAGTGTAATTTTGAGAAATCGTGGTGGATGGGCAGCGGACGCGGATTTCCGAGGTTCCAACTGCACCAACACGGGGTTGAAAGCTTTGAATGGTGGGGAATCAACCCCTTAGAAACATCTGGGTGAATTATAATTGTGGTGCCGCTATTCAGAAGCGGTCTTTTCCTCGACACAAAAACGGCTCCATTGTGCATGGTTTGATTGCCTATACATGAACCCCTCTAGTTCACACTCCTCCCAGGTACAATCCGTTAGGCTTGCACCTGCGCTACCGGTTCCGCCCCTCAGCTCAAGCCGTCCTCGATGTAGGTCATCACCCCGGGATCCTGGCGTACCCCCTCCCTCTGACTCCGGCGCATCGTCGGCACCGGTCGAAGGCATCCCACCTCCGTTTTGCCGCCAAAGTGGGGCAGTTCAGGGAGTAATGGTACCTGACCCCGTAGTCTGTGGTGAGCACCGGCTTCCAGTCCCTCACGATGACGGGGACCGAATGCTCCTCTTCTACGTCTTGCATCCGGAGCTCCTGTGCGAAGCACCATGTGCAGACATACCTTGACTTCCGGCGCACTCTCTGGTGTGGTGTGCGATCCTGTCCTTCTTGTTGAAGAACAGCTCTTCGTCCGGAATGTCCCACCTTTCGTTGTGCACTTCTTCCTCGATCTGGACCAGTTGCCGCCCTTGATCATCTGCTGGCGGTTGGTCCTCATTCCTCCAAGGCGGAGTGGGGTGCCTCCTCGCATAATCCCTCCTCCATGGTGCATTGATGATCGGCTTCCCTTTTCCTTTTCCAGAACCGATTCCACCCTTTCCTTTCTCCAACGGCCTCCTCATGGCCTCTGGTGCTGCTTTTGATCTAGCACCCAATGCTTCCGACCCTCCGCCACCTCCGGTAGTAGTGGATCTTCTCCTTATAGTTGATGCCGATGCTCTCGACGACGATGAAGCCTCTTCTTCCGACTCCTCTTCCTCGTCACCCGCCGGCATCTTGTTGTGTCCACGCATCGCCCTTACAGACGCATGTTCCCCTCTGCTTCTCTTCTCGCATGTCTCTTTTACCATCGCCGTCACCTTGATTGCCAGAGCCGTGAAGAGGGCCACCAGGATGCCGAAGCCGACCAAGGCGTTGTAGTCTCCCTGATCTTCTTCCTTGACTTTTTCTCTTTCGCCGTCATTGCCTGGACTTGCATGCAGCATGCCAAAATGGCCAACGCTGCCTTTCCTTTTTCCAGGTCCACCTCCAGGGCTCCGGTGCTCCAATCTCCACCAAACCTGCCATCTTGCGCAGATCACGTAGGCGAGTTCCCGGCAGACACTTCGTGCCCATGTCGGCGACCAGATTGGCGCCCATCCGATGCACTATCCGCCAGTCCCCCATCTGCACTCTCCATCTCACATAGAACGCTCTCAGACGAAGATGACGCGTCCGCCACGATCCAGCATCTCCTGTGCACAGCGAGACCGCCGCTTGGTTGTCCCCGATCAACGTCCGCGAATAGTCCATCTCCGTCTTGATCTCCTGAATCAACGCGTCTACCAAGTCCCCAAGAACCATTCCCTCTATCATCTCCATCAGCTCGGACTCGGCCGTCGACAGTGCAGGGAAGCTCTGCCTCGAAGATCTCCACGCCAGCATTGATCCCTGCCATTTGACCATTACACAGCCATGGCTAATCTCGCCGCCTGGCGCGAAGCTCGCATCTGTGATGACCTCCAAGCCCGCTCCTCTACTCTTTCTTCCATCTGTGTCCTCCCCCATGTCCCTATCCAGCAGGATGCCCTCCGTCTTGGTCGCATTGAGGTACCGCAGTGTTTGGGTCGCGGTTCTCTGCACCCATCGTGGAGCCTTGACATTCTCGAAACCACGTAGGCCAGGTCAGGTCTACTCCGGGTGACCAGCCAAATCAACTCGCCCACCAGGCGCTGACCCGTCTGAATCTCCTCCACCGTGATCCCGATCTCTGCCTCTGGCTCGCTGCACTCCTTGCTCATGGGGATCACCGACTTGCCAGTGACATTGTTCCGATCGATGATCTCCTTGATGTAGTCCATCTGGTCCAAGGTGATCCCCTGCTCCGTCACAGAGATGTTCACCCCGCAGAACCTTACCGGCTCCTTGCCGAACCAGCTCTCTTCTGATGATTCCCACGTGCCCTTGATCTTCTCCATGAGGGCTTGAGGCACTCCTTCCATGCCCAACGGCATGAAGTCGTCCACGTAGACTAGTAGCAGGCGGCCAAGTCGTCCTCTACCTTTTTCACCAGCCACAGATTCGGTTCACTCCTCATCTGCTCCAACTTCAGCCAACGCTTACCATAGCTGATTCTCCACCTCCTCATCTCGTCGTCACGGTAGTCCGACCAACACCTCGGACTCTGCCGTAGGCCGTACATGGCCTTGTTGACGATCCACAGCTCCCTTTTTGGTATCAACCCCATCCGGACCAGTACTGCCGGCGGTCGCGTGGCCACCGTCAGCTCTCCTTCCTGGTCAACTGCCTGCAGCGGGGCATTCAGGAAGGCTCCTTTCACGTCCACGGTGCCTCCTTGCCACCCGCGAACCGCCGCCTCCTTCAACGCCAACCGCAAAGCCACCACGTCCGTGCCCCCTGCGAAGAGCGGCATGGCCTCGTGAGACTCCCCGTAGTTGCCGCACACCACCAGTCGGCACTTACGCTTCCTTCCTGGTTTGATTGTGAACACCCCCTTCCCGGGTAGTACTTGCACCCGTGGGTTGTTCTCCAGCAGCTCCCTCGCCGATGCCGGGTTGAGCCTGGTGATTGCACCCTTTTCTTCCACGATGGTGTCCAGCTCCTTCTTCATGGGTGCTTTCCAATCCTCCAAGTTCATCTCCACCTCCTTGGCACTGACGATCTTGGTCTGGAGTATCTGCTCCTCGTCTTTTTCCACCTCTGTGCTGCTCCTCAACTCCTCTTCTTCCTTCTTCAAACCTTCTAGGGCTTTCACCACAATGTCCATCACCTCCGGCTCGTCGTTCGTCACCGCCTTCTCCTCCTCCTCTATTGTGGATCTGAGCGCCCGCAACCTCACCAGAACCCGTTCGTCTTCCAACACCTTCTTTTGGGTCTTATCTCTTATCCTCCTCCGGACACGATAGGGTTCCTCCGGCTCGCGCTCTTCTCCCTCATCACCTCTCCGTTCCACAAATTGCCACCCGTCCACTGGCTCCGGGAGAGAATCTCTGTTCTTTGGAACTAACCTTCCGTTCTTGAGGGAGTAACCTTCTGACATTTCAAGTTCTTAAGCTTCAGATGGCTGTGCGTGCCACAATGCTGGCAAAATAAACGCCACCACAAAAACTGCAGCCTTGCAATTTTGATGCGTGCACCACTATCAGGGGGTTATGGGGACGTAAAACTTAGTAAGATACAGTGGACAGTGGGGCACTGGGACAGCGTGATGTAAAGCTTACCAAGATACAGTGGACAGTGGGACAGTGCGACAGCGGGACAGTGGCACAGTGGGTGGGCACAAGCCAGGTCAGTCAGCCCCAGTGAGGCAAACCAGGCATGCCACCTGCCCAGGCAAAGGTCACACACAACACAGGGAAAGTATCAACACAGACAGGTAGCAGATGCGCCCTCGAAACAAGTTGCCATGTTCAAGCGACATCCAATGCAAAGCTCTGTCTTTTTCATCAGGCGCCGCACTGAAGCTCATGAGGCATCATAGTGCCAGTCCTGAAAGCCAGTCCACTATTCACTGGGACAGTGGACAGGGGACAGCTCCAAATCTCAGGTAGAGCTCCAAGGCGTAGCCAGCTCATTGGGGCCATTCTCTGGCGTGAAGACAAACATGCGGTACACTTCTGCTTCACAGTCGAACAGCATCGCATAGATCGCAATGACTTTGTCGCCCGCAATCTTTCGCACAGCGTCCCTGTAGCTATATAGCTTCTTGTCGTTGTAGGTGAACTCAGGGTCCACCATGAAGAGCCTGCACCGGACCCATTCCGCCAAGGCAGCTTCCATCGTGAAAGGCTCATACCTCGTGGCGCCCACTAGCAGACAAGAGTGAAATGCAAACAACCCGACCAAAGATTCTCACTCTACAGCACCTTTCAGCCCAGGCACGGGCACGGCTGAACATCGCACTCGTCAATGTCAGCTTCAAATTCACCGTCGGCGCCGCAAGGAATGGGCTCTGACTTCCACATGTTCCGCATCAGTGGGGTGGTCAAAAATCCGGACATTCTCACTTGGACAGAGGACCAGGAACAGTGGACGGCGTCAGCTAGGCCAGTGTCAGACCAGATCAGAGCCAAAGCTTGCAGGCGCAAGTTGCACAAGAGTGGGTCGAGCGCACCGCGCTGAAAGCAGGGAAAACATGGGTTCATTCAGTTGCGCCAAGTGCAGTCTTGGAAGGGAGTTTGTGTGGACATCAAGTCAAGCCTAATGGCAATCTCACATCAAAAACTTGCAGCAATTCAGTCAACGCACAACCAGGCAACGCAGCCCGCCCCAATCAGCCAGTGCAAAATACAATTCTGCAATGCAAGATTGTCGAATTTACGGCTCCAGCGTCTGGATCATAACAGTGCTTGTTCTGACCTTCTGGAAAAGAGAAATGCGTCTGCCAGGGGCATGCGCAACTTTTCAAGCTTGGAAATCGTCGAAGGAGGGGCCTCTCTGAGTTTGAACGGCTTGAACGGTTCGATTTATAGACTAACCTGACAGGGGGCCCGCCAACTTACAGTAGGCGCACAGACCAAATTTGGTAAATTTTGGCCAGAACCGCGGGGGAAGAAGCTTCCAGCAAGAGTTTGTCCCAGGTTACCATACTTGGGCCGCCCGCCCCAAGCAAAAGTAGCTCAATTTAGCTTAATTTACCGACACCTCCTTCGGTAAATTGCATTGTTTTACTCTTCCGCGCAGTGCCTCCTCACCGCCATCATCCGGCTGCTGCCGAATTGCACACATGAATTAATGCAGGCTGGGGCGCTTCCAGAAATCTGCGCCAGAAGCACTTACTCGATTCTTCTTTGCAGGTGGAACATCGTAGGGTTGGGGTGCCTTCCAGCTCGAAGAAACAGGTCGTTTCTTTAGCTCTGGCGTCTTCCAATGCACAGAGGACAGAGGACATGGGACAGCATCTTTTTGCAGGTACTGGTCCACTACCCACTTGCCCATGTTTGCTGGATAGGCTTGGCTCTCCTTCAAGACATCCGCCTTCCCCGTCACTGTCTTCTGGTTTCCTTGCGCCCCCACAGTTACCATGGAACGATGTTGCCGCCCAGCGCAGGTGCATTTTGTGTGCAGGGTAGACACCCAGCTTTCGCCCAAGAACTTGTAGCGCTTGAGGAGGCGAGCACCATACTCTACATCAGGGGTGAAAGCACACCTGGCACAAGTAGTGTGTGTCGCCTTGAAGGCATCAATGACTTTCTTCAAGGGCTGGAAGCGGAACATGATGGATCCAGCCGGCTGCTCCACCACAGGGTGGACCCCAGTCAGAATGGCCACAGCAAACAGAAAAGCGGCTATGGAAGCCATCCTGTTCCCTTCTTGCACAGGCTTGTAGCCAGTGGAGCCTTCAGGATGCTCCTTAGAGCGCTGGCAGTTGCAGGAGTTGAGAAACACCCAGCTGGAACATACCGGCGCCATCCACAGTAAGCCACCGGGCTGAATTGCCAGGACTGCCTTCAAGGAATTCATGAAGCCTGCCCTCGACAAGATGTTTTCTGATTCCGGGCCATTCCCATCTGTCATTCCTGGAACTCGTTCAATGTCCATGGCCTTGGACGGCAGTCCCTGGGACGCTGCTGCATTGGCCACAGCGCCGACACCTGCCCACAGCTCGACCACGGACAAAGGACGGTGGACAGGGGACAGGGCAACAGCAGCCGCCAGCGTGAGTCCGAAGATGCGCATGGTGGCAAGCCTTGGAGGGACCTTCACCTCTGGCACAGCCATGATTATGCCAACCGTGGCAAGTCAATCAAGCACTCAAGAGCCCAAAGCTGCGGAAAACAATTAGTACACATTTTCAGCAACCAATGCGTGCATATCAGTCAGTGCCAGCAGTTTGTGCTTTTTCAAGTGTGTTTTGTTCAAGCGCAGCTGCCCGAGCACCCCAATTGGACGCACGCTTTCAGCGCACACTACATGCCCCTAGTCCCTGCAAAGCAAGGCTGTTCCCCTGGACTGATGGCATTGACACTGTACAATGGACAGTGGA